CGAAATGTGGGTCCCCTGAAATGGAACTTGTTTCCCCTAAAATTGTGTGATGACGTTGTTTAAATCTTACCGATAATTGACTTTTCTTATTATATATTTCTTGTATAACTATGTTTAAACATTGATAACTCTAAAACTTTGTATTATTCTTGCCTATGTTTTTACATAGGAACACCTGTGCATTGTGTACTTAAAATGACGTACAATGACGTCATTACCTATTTTGGTAATCACCAGTTCCGGTTTTGGTAATTTAGGTATTTTCCGAAATGGTAAATGGTAAACCAAAATGGTAAATGGTAAACCAAATCGGTAAATTGGTTTACCTAAGTATAAATACGGTGGAGAATACAGATAAGTCTTTAGCACGATTTTACCCTGGGCAAGTAACACACGTTAATTCCATGCTATTTTGATATACGTACAGATACCATGTACCATACCAAGTAGTAACCAGACAGCCAACACTATTACAATGTCCGAGGAGACTACGTCCGTATAATGTGGGTTTGTTAATTCCTTTACAAGTTACATTTAGAGAATAACTTCTCGAGAGAAACTTTATCTTTTGGCATTGAATTTGATTTACTATTTGCCGATTACCAAACTACGATTAGTAAACTTTCTGGGTATATTTTTCCGCTATCCATTTTCTTTAATTCCCGATAGGAGGTTAATAAAGTATTTATCTGTTAGACTAGAATACTGTTAAGTTATTTAATATTTATATGTATTGTTGCTATTTAATGCATCTTAAAGTTAATACAAGTTGATTTTTATTTAACAAGCCTGTTATTCTTACAAACATCGAGAGTTACCATACAAAAACCTATACTAGTACTCCAATCTTCCCTTTTATATCAGAGTCATTACCTTACCAGAGGAACCAAACCTTACCAGTGTGTATTCAGAATACCAGAGTACCACATAGTACCACGATACCAGAGTACCACGATACCAAAGAAGAGTCACCAGATATAACTTTTATTTTTTATATACTCGTTCATTCTAACCTAACACATTCTTATAGTAACGCACTAAGGGATAAATATTTATAGTTTAACACTAAGGCCCGACCGCTCGGTTTTCGTTACAATACAATCGTGCTGCTGCTGCTGCTGTTACCCGATAAAAAACCCGAAAAAAAACAAGTAGTGTTATTGGCAAAAATGCCCAGTGGCAAATATTTCATGCAAAATTCATGATGACATGCAATATATTGAATACAACTTACTGAGCCAAACTCAAACAAATAGTTGGACAACTATTTTGTATCAAGTCTTACGTGTTATGTCCAAAGCAGGGGAGTGATATGGAAACTTACAATATTCAAACAAAACAAGCCCTATATTTGCAAGAAAGACTGAAAGCAAAGTAGAAACAATCATTTTCATGAAATTGTCAAATCCAAGGGCCATGTATTAGTAAAGCCAATTGAAACAAAATTCACTAATAATCTACAAGTACTTGTCCCATAATTACATGGTATACATGTACTAGTATCTAAGCAAAATACCTGAAAGGATGTCTTGAAAATGGAACAGAAAACTCATTATGTATTAAAAAAAAAAGTTCAGAACAAAGAAAGTCATCCAAAACGTAATTTCTATGTGTCCTAAAACAACTCAAAATATTATTGTTTACATATACATGTACCTTATATCAGGTTATTATTTACAAAAAACTTAGTTTCTGCAAAAAAAAAAAAAATAGGGGGAAAATGTCTTTCAAGGGCAATAACTCCTACAAGAGGTCAATTGACAATTTAATCGTTGCAAATTTATTTGTAGATCTTATTTTGTTGAATATTTTATCTTTTTTACAGTTTCTATTATGGTTTCTGCAACTATGGGTAAAATCATCTTTCAAGGGAAATAACTTTGAATGATTCGATTGACAATTTCAGCCATGTTGACTTATTTTGATGAACATTATTAGGTCAAAAGTAGGACAACCAGAATAAAGAGCCTGTTCGCTTTTTAAATTTTTGTCATATAAAAATATGTCCACAAAATATCAGTTAACGGACAAAAGAGTAGGAAACTTCTTCTCATGAAACTGAGTGTATACGAAGGGATGACAACGAACCAGAGACTTATATTCATGAAGTTCTCCTGGTTCAAGTTTTGTACTTTGGCCAACTTGAATTAATTTTATGAATAAAATGATACGCCAGATACATGGCAATGAGACAGCAACCCAACGACACAAGAAAACATCTAAATGTCAACATGCTAGCCCTCTAAGATTACAATTTTCCACGCTAAACATTTGTTTTATTGTTTAACATCTTCAAAATTGATTGATCAACGCCTACTAGAAAAAATTTCATGTATTTCTAGGATGAGAATAAGTCAAAAACATACAAATGATTACTTAAGGTCTGATGAGTAGGCACATAGAAAGGGCAAATGATTCAACTGCGCTTGAATATAAGGCTTGGCTGCAAGGATCCAGAAATTTCTTCACACAATTTCAGTCATTTTAAGATGACTTGAAAGTTGGGGTCCTTTTTTCAAACTGTTGAAATTAATCATACTAGATACATGGTACCAATGAACTTACAGGCTTGGGTGTAGACTGTTTTATGATGTTGGGTTGCTGGTGCATTAAATCATACAGAACATCTTTCATTCATACAGATTGAACCAAAAGTTAAATTTTGCTTGACAACAGATTACTTTCAAAGAGTAGCCCGACAGTTTGAAGCTGCAGATAAAATGAAAATCATAAAAACATCTACCTTGAATATAATTTCCTCAATCAGAACTGATAAGTTTGCACATTAAAATATAACTTGCCAATAAAAATTATCCCCCTTCGTCTCGTTACATCTGTCTTGTTCAGCCAGATGGAAGTTGCATACATTCACAAACCTATTTTTTACCTCTTTTACAAGTTCTGTTTTTGTTGGTGGAGCAATATGATGCCTGCACCTTTAAACTGTAACTGACCCTATAAGTTCAATGATTTTCTACAAAAGTATAAGGTTATTTATGTTTTTGCTTGGCGATTAATAAATGTGGTAAGAGATGGAAACATCATCATCCCTTTAAAGGTAAATTTTTCCAAAAAGTCCATAGAGTTGATTGATTGATAGTTGTTTGCAAAACATTCAGTGGAAAATAATTCATGCATATTCAGGAAGAGAACAAATGAACAAGTAAGCATTGAGGTTTCATTCCTATCAAGCAATGGAAACTCAAGATACCATCTGGAAACCACTTTTCAAAAACAAATACATTTCTAGTATATGTGACCTTGACTTTTCACCTATTGACTTAAATCAATAGGCTTTTTCTCCTTCCTATATCTTCCATCTGTACAAGTCTATTCCAGTCAAGCAAGATTTACTGGTTATCATCAAGAAGCATGTTTCTGACACTGGGAAGGAGGGATGGACAAAGCAATAACTAAAATTGAGAATGGAAATGGGGAATATGTCAAAGAGACAACAACCCGACCAAAGAGCAGACAACACATGCTCCTTACTTTTTTTCATGCAGCATAGCAATAGTGCACACACTGAAATGTCTTGCCTGCTTTACTGAGCATGATTGATTTTATTTTGAAAGTCTTGGTGATAAAAGGGAAATAAAAGGTCAAATAAACTTAAAATTATCAATGATCCATGACAACGAAATCAAGGTCAAATAAATCCTGCCAGACAGACGTGCACACCTTATAATCATTCCATACACCAAATATAGTCTAGTATCCAAGAAAGATATCAAACCATGAATACTTAAAGGGCCATTAGCTGTCAAATTCATGTTCACATATTCGCCCAAAATTCTTGTATTTGATTTACTAGTATAACATACTAAAACGTATACAAATTACAAAGAGTCCAAAAGAAACAATAAACAATGCATAGACTCGCTTTAATGTACCAGCATTTCGAGCATATTTTAGACCAGACGCCATCTATTACTCATCTAGATAGAAAAATAAATAGACACACAAGCACGTGCAATCGTAAAATGATTTTTCTAGGTCTGTTTGATTTCATGTTACAGGTTAAAAATAAATGTACATCATCGTTTCACCTTTAAAATTATTTTCGGTGGACCTAATCTGTCAATGAAATTGTTTTTCATGGTGTCTTCCTTTTTCACTTTTCAATGTTGACATTCTTTTCCTTTTTTTTTACAGTAGTTGACCTATCTTTTATAGAATTTGAGAAGAGGACCAAACTTTAGAAACTTTACATTGACAAATGAACCATGAAAATGAGGTCACGGTCAGATGAAACCTGCCATACTGACATGTACACCTTACAATCATTCCATTCACCAAATATAGTTGACCTACCGCTTATTATATCTGAAAAACGAACCTAATCACATAACTTCAACCTCTATCACTGATATAAAAATAAGGTGAAGGTCAGGTGAATCTTGTCTGACTCAGACTGATATGTAGAACTTACTAGGAACCCTTATACCAAATATAGTTATCCTATTACTCATAAGTGAGAAATTCACATTTAAATTTTTCTTTATTCAAATAGTTTAAGCTGCCGCCACAGAATAGTAATAGGCCACATAAGTATCCTCAGAGTTGTTACAAGGGTTCATTATTGTGCACACAGCATGGCATTCTCCCTACACAAGGCCTCAGATTGAACATTTCCATTCTACCCAGATGTGGTCTGCATATTCACACATCCTGCACAGCCAAATGGATTCCCTTCTTTTAATATCAGATATCATAATGCCAGATAAAAGATGTCTAAATGACTGTAAAATCTTATCAATAGTTCAATTTCATATACTTTAATAAAAGAAGGAGAACAATAGCTTTAAAACTTTAAAAAACATATTTTTTTTCAAAACTAAGATTTCCTCATATGCATGAAATATTTGCCACTGGACATGAAGCAAACAATCAGCATAAGTCAAGACCAAAGAAGAATGAAACAAACTTCATGAAACCATAAACAATAAATTGTTTTAAAAAGGGAACTCAAACTTACAATATAAAATATAAGTCATAAACACTTTACAAACCTGACTTTATTATTATCAACTGTTGTTTTTTCAACAAAAATGAAATCTATTTAAGAGGACAAATAGCACTGATGAATGACTGTTTATACATGATATGATCATATCTACACATATTTATCAGGAATTGGCTGTTTCAGAATCTAAAGGATTATGGGTAATTTCATTGTTTGTTTACTAAAATGAATTGGTTGAATTTCCATTGTTTAGGACATTTAACTTTTGGTTTACTCTTTTCTAAATATTACCCATAATGCATTAAATTCTGATACAGCTAATTGTCAAGTACATTATAAGTACATGTATATTCAATAACAACCTATCTCATCAGATATGAAGTTCTTAAATAAAGTTTCTCTTTAGTGGTTAACTTTGTACAGCAGTCAATTTATCTTTTCCTTCATAAAAGAAAATTTTGTCATCTTTCAATTATTTTTTATTTGTATCAAATATTGATATTACATATTTTTTCATTCCCAGATAATTTTAAGATGGACATAGCATGAGTACAACTAATCACTGATACAACTACAGCTGGACCAAAAATGTAATAAGACAGATATATTTGGACTTTCTTCAGAATATTAGGGGTCAAAAATCAAAGGTTATGTCTATAAAAGTTACTTCAACAGTATTTAAACATAAAATGACCATCTTTTGTCATGTATGAAATGAGAATTTATCTAGCAATACAAAAAAGTTACCACACTAAAAGATAGAAGGGTGTTAGAAAGTAGGAGATTATGTTCAAATATCAAGTCTTATCATAACATGTATAGATTCAAAATCCAACATTCTGCTCTTAAATGAAAAATATAAATATTTAAAAATACCTATTACCATTGTTCTTTTCCAAAACTAATAATTTAAATTAAAAAATAATTTTGAAATGAATAATGAAGAATCTCATACCAGATAAGATGTTTTTCTTTTTAGTAGTATTTCCATAATGTTATTTTTTATCTACGTCCCAAAAGACTTATAAAGGAGAGGTAAAGGCCCCCTTTTGGTAATTGAAATTAAAAGTATTTTTTTTTTCAAAATAAATTTTTAAAATATACTTCACTCAATATACATGTAACAGAATGAACCAATTAATAATTTAATATTAATATTTTATTGAAAAAAATCAAAATTCCACTAAAGCTGATACTTCGGCCACCTTAACTCTCCTTTCCTTTTGTTTGTTGTATTTTTATGTAGTTTTGACAGAATTCTAGTATTTCAAAGCTTTAGCCCTTTAAATCCACCTGCTCAATCCTAATAATATTCTCCATTCCAAAGGAGTTTGGTTTTGATGACAGGTTTCACTACATCCATTGTGTAATTAAAATGTAAAAGTTATTCATAAGAATTATTTGAGTCTTCAATGTTTGTTAACAAATGCCTTGGAATTAAGGATTTTTTTTGCATTGCCCCACTGCCTACACATGTATAAAACTACTAGGTTAAACAATACATGGATTACTGTGGATTCATTATTATTCGTTGGATACCAATTATCGTGGGTTTCGTGGAAACAGTTGAACCACGAATTCAAATGTTCAACGAATTACAAATTTTCTATAGGCTTTGTATGCAGAGATTGGCAAAAGCATGAAATCAAATAACCATGAAAATGCAAGTTTTCCTCAATCCACGAAAATTGATACCCACGAAAATAAATGAATCCACAGTAATTGAAAAGTAGAATTACCACTGTCCAACAAAAATATGTTTCTAACCCATCCATTTAAATCAATATTATTTGAAAAATTTGAATTTCTGTTGCTCCATGCCAAACTACTTACATGTAGGTGTAACCAGATTATTCAGAGTACCCAAACACCACAGCAGAGTCATTTGACACTTTCAGTGATCCAAAAACTATTTCCTTTTAACAAAGTTTATACCAAAAATCATCCAAATAATTGTAATTTGTTACATAATATTTTGAGAATTTTCCCTGCCATTGTCAATTTGGATATGATGGACAATCTGGGTACACCAACATTAATTTCTGTACACCAACATTAACTTCTGATATCTTAAATTTCAAAATACTGTAGCACATTTTACCAACTGAAAATAACAACATCTATCACACTAAATAAAACTTCAATCAAAACAAAACAGAAAATAATTTATAACAACAAAAAAGTAAACATATAAACTTTAAATTTACAGAAATATAATATAAAGATTACATGTACTCACATGTACATGAAAACAATTGATTTTACCCAGGGATATGTCAATTCTAATAATAAATGTGTATACTCAATTGTTAATCTACTGTTCCATAGCAAATTGCTAAAGACATTTTTTTTCTTGATTTGGGTGTCCACAAACATAGCAGAGTTCTCTTTTTGCCTCTTCAAAGAGATACTGTAAATTCAGAATATTTAAGATGTTTTTATTATTGCAAAATTTGTGATGGGTTAAGTTTTGCAAATTAAAAATTCACTTATAAATTTGATAGCATTATTTATATGCAGCATTTCTTGAATTCCCAATAATGAATCTCACATTTTTCTAATTGTTCAACAATAGATGCATACGAAAATTTCTGAATTTACAGTAGTTCTACCTGCCAATACTAAAACATGAAGATTTGCATGTTATTTCTAATGAACAACAGCAATTTCAAAAGTATTATTTCATTTTTTATATTTAATTATGTATGAAAGAAGAAAGTAAGTGCCAGTTATTTTGTAAACCATGTTGATAAGGATTTTTGGTGAACAATTATTTTTGACTAAATATATTGGTACTTTTTCACAAAAAAATATTTACATATTGCTAGTTTACATTTCAATGCAAAATAAGTTAGTTTTAACATTGCAATGTATTTATGCTGGAAAATTTTGCAAAAAAATAAATTAAAATGACAAAAATGGTTTAATAACAATGCGCCAGTTCCATAAGTAACAAATTCACTGTATAATGATTAATTAATGTGCAAATTTAAACGATATTTTTGAACTTGGCAAGACCAATCACCTAACAAAAGTATCAACAATGCTGGTTCCAGTTTCTAAATGGCAAAAATGAAAAAAAAAAAAAAATGAGAGACAAAAATACAAATTATCATTAAAAATGAGGTATTCACAAAATGTCAATGTGCGAAAAAAAATGCCCACCTTCTTCAAACACAACATGTTCTGACTAATACATACATCTGATATTTACAACAAATAAATGTTAAGCTTTTGGGGGCAATCAGACATGAAATTTACATCCTATAGGGTGGCACTTGATACAAAATTAACATGAGATCACAAGAAGTATGCAGTCTATGAGGTTTCTTCTGTAAAGTTCTCATTATGAGAGTCAATGATTGGTGTGTCCTGTGAACAACTATCTTCTGTTTCAACAGACATGACCTCAGTCTCTATCATCGGAGTTTCTACAACACTTGTAAGTTCTTCACTAATGTCCACTGAACTTTCTGTATGCTGACTATCATCCTGACTGTCCACTGACGATTCATCATGTCCAACATCCTGACTTGAAATGTCTTGCATCTCCATAATAGCTTCATTTTCAACAGAATTTAACTGGGGAACTAAGTCCGGACTTGATATTGCATTGTCACAATGTGGTTCCAGTTCCTCAGAAATATCAGGTGTATTTTCTGCGACAACTTCAGTTTCTATATCACATGACATATCCGGTATAGGCACTGAACTAATTTGTTCAGTCACTACTGATGGATTTACCTCCCCTGTACCTTCCTCATTTTCGATTACCTCCCCTTCTTTTCCAATCTGCTGTAAGTCTTGTTGATTTGCTAGAGCCTGGCTAAACATAGAGGAGTTAACCTCGTCTGGCATGCTCTCATGACACATTAAATCTTCTTGCACTTCCTGTTTGATCACAATATCGGACATTGATGGTATGATAGTGGTTTCCGTTGGGTCACCACACTTAAAACATTTATAATCCTCATCCTCTTTTACTTCCTCTGATGCCAACCCAACACACAATAAATGGTACCACTCTTCACAATGATCACACTGCACCCAATTTACTTCTTCTCCTACAAAACAACATGCAAAATCAATTAACTGATGTTTGGTTTTTTTAAGCCAGTAGCCTGTTTTTCTATTTTGCCATGAATTTTTTCTAGAGATATTAATTTCTATTCAAATTAATCAAGTCCATCAATTTTTACATTATTTCATAAATTTTAGTTTAATATTCTCTCTGATAAGTTATCAACTTATTTCATAAAAAAATTAAGAAAACAAGAATAAGTGTCATCGCCCCAGCTTGCACAGTCATGTCAATGTTCAGCCAACCCTGAGATTGGGGACAAAATAAGAATTTGGTATAAAACTTTAAAAGTTTACCTCACAATGCACATGTGTACTAATTTCATAGTTGATGTAACAAAACTTCATGGTAAACTACCTTTACCAGAAACTTAAAACCTAAGAATGTACTAAGTTAAAAATTTACATCTAAAAGTTCATTGAACTGTGAAAACATGATAAAAATCATAATTTACTGTGAAAACAGGGTAAAAATCGTAATTTAGCATATAATTTTAAAAGTTAACATCATAATGATCATGTGAATTCAGTTTCAAGTTGATGTGACCACAACTTCATGGTAAATTATCCAAAAAGTTTAACCTGATATGGGACAGACTAACTGACAGGCAGACACAAATACCAGATAACACATTGCCCCAACTATGGTAGGTGACGCATAATTATGGAATTTGAAATACACTGAATACCTGTAGGTTTGAGACATTTGATGGCAGCACAATTGTCTGCATCATCTTCATTATCATCAACTAGCATCTTCTTCTTGTCTTTCTTTTCCCTTGGTTTTCTTTTCTTCTTCTCTGTACTTTCCTCTCCTTCTTTCTTTTTGATTTTCTTTTTCTTTGGTTTATCAGCTATTTTCTTATTTTTATCAAATGTCTCTACAGTCTTCTTGATTTGCTCCACATCAGCAGCTGTATCTCCTGATAATGGTACTGTTAAAAAAAAATATAACAATTTAAACAGAGATATTCAGTGCAACCTTTGTCATACATAATTATAACATTCTATAAATATTATTGTAATACTATCAAACGGCTATGTGCATAGAACTTATAAAATCACCACTTGATTTAATTCAGCAATGCCTTCTTAGATGTTGGAATATTCAAATATATAGTTTTATAGAAGGTGTGTGGATCAATGCCATCAGGTCTTCAAACCTTGTTTTATATCTGCTAACTGGTAAATTTTATCTGTAAACTCAAAATAAAGAACAGATACAATGCCTATATGACAATGCAATCAATTTCCACAATCTTCATTATGCAAAAAGATAATGCTTATTTGTATTTGTTATTTATTAAACATATAAAAGTTTTTTTTTTCCAAATCTCTGGCTTATGAAAAAAACTTAAATTGGAAATTATTACATAATAATTTGTTTCATTGCATCATTCTTTCAGATGACATTCTTTTGATCCTTATACTGTTTGATTTAAATCATATTGACTCTGTGTCAGTTTCATTCTAGCAATTACTACTACTAACTGTTATACACTTTCATTACTTATCATGCAATACAACAATTACACATATATATATATTTAGGACTCAAATCTATGGTAGGTTCCTGATCTATGGCAGATATTAAGTCAAAAATGCCAGATAAGACATACAAATCATAAATCTAGGGCAGTTTTTTGTTTTCTCCAAATCTATGACAGATTTTGAAATTACGTAATTTTAAACTATTATTAAACTATGAAGCTGCTAACGATGACAGAAAATATAGATTCAAATGCCATTCCAGGTGACGGTTTTGTTATGAGAAATAATCCACTTGTTTAAAGCAAGTCATTGATCAGATATGTATTGACTTGTCCTCTATTTGCAGAAAATCTGCCATAGATTTGGAAACTAAAAAAATCCACCATTGATTTGGAAACTAAAAAAATCCACCATTATAGATTAGGAAACTCAAAAAATGCACTGTTACACTTCTGTCCTGGTAAGGGGAAAGGTTGGGCGCCCGCTAACACGTTCAACCCCGTCACATTCTGTATGTGCCTGTCCTGTCAGGAGCCTGTAATTCAGTGGTTGTCGTTTGTTTCAGCCTATCATATTTGTTTATCGTTCATTACTTTGTACATCAATTAGGCCATTAGTTTTCTCGTTTGAATTGCTTTACTTTTGTCATTTTGGGGCCTTTTATACATGTAGCTGACTATGCGGTATAGGTTTTGCTTATTGTTGAAGGCCGTACGGTGACCTATAGTGGTTTATTTCTGTGTCATTTGTCTCTTGTGGAGAATTGTCTCATTGGCAATCATACCACATCTTCTTATTCTTATATAGATTTGGATTCTAAAAAATCTGCCATAAATTTTGGATGGCATGACGTCATATTTACCATAGATATGAAATCTGGAACCCACCATGGATTCGAGTCCTACATATTTCTAAATGGTCGAACTTATAGAACCCATATTAACCTCAATCTATGGCTTCAATCCACACTTTTCTCAGTTTCATAAAAAAATACTAATCTGTAGAAACGACTTTTAGAAATATACATACCAAAATCAGCTATATCTTCTTGTTTAATGACAGGTAGTTTATCTTTGCTTGGTTCTTTCTTGATCTTAACCTTCATTTTGACTTTATTTGGATCTTTGATTTTCTTTGGTTTAGATGCATCCCCTCCCTCATCGATCTTTTTCCTTTTCTTTTTCTTCTTTTCTGGATCATCTGCTTTTTCCTTTTTGATTTTGACAACAAGTTTTTCTTTGTCAATTGGATCCTTAGAAATAAGAGATTCGTGTTCCTATAAAATATATTAAAATCAATCACTTTCAATCCAATAATATTTTCTGGTTCCTTGTTTTCAACAGACCTGGCCATGGAGAGTTAAACAATGAGAAATAACCAATAGCAAAGCTTAAATTAATTATGTCTCCATCAAATCAGACATATATCATTTTTTTAAACGTTTTAATGAAACAATGATGACTTGAATAATTAAGCAAAATTTAAAGAAAATGAAAATTCTGATAATATGTACACCTTTAGTACATGTACTCACATCCTGAATAATATAAAAGTTATAGCCTGAATACTACAGAAAGAGATAGCAGAACAAACCATGAACATTATGTGAAATTAACTGATGAAAAGAAGGACATTGGGAAAACAATATGGCCACTAACATTTTAATTTGGGGCATAAAAACATTTTATTTGCAATTGTCCCTGTATGAATAACATCCTCAAATACTGAAAATTCAGAAATTATTGCTTGCATTTACTGCAATTGTTCAAACATGGACAAAAATGTGAGTTCAATCATTGCGATTTCAGAAAAATCTACATAGAGATCTATGTATCAGTTATTAGAATGCAAGTTCCTCTTATTGCGATACTCACCCAGTTGCATTATTCGCATTAATAAAAACCTCGCTTTAATTTCTGAATTTACAATAATGAAAATCCTGCAACATTTGGCTTGATAGTATGTTTTATTTTTTTCTACAAATTATTTTCACACTACATACAGACTACTTAAAACAATCGACTACCAATGTGTGCTAAACATTATTGATTAGTGTGTTTTTACTACAGATCATCAGATATTTTTATGCTATGTACCAAAAGATTACCACAAGGGTAATGTATGTACAGAAAGTACTGATGATATATTATCGTAACAGTCTAAAAAGTTTAAAATCACTAGAATTCTTTTTTAACTTGTAGATTGTAAATATAACTGCTAATCATTTCACAACCATTCATTTCTTAACATTCAGGTAACAAAGAAGTCACCCAAATTGTCATCATAGTATACTGACATAATCCAGCTTTACTTGCCAAACTTATTTTTTTGTTGTAGTTTGGTTAAATGTTAAGTAATTCGGCAAGGCAAGAAACTTCAGGTAAAATTCAAACAGGACTTTACCTCAAGATCCAAGAATTTTCCATCAGTTCTAGGTTGGCAGGCTTGAAGTATTCTCCAGATATGCTGAGTTTCATCCAGAGACACTTCTAACATATCTCCTTCCATCATCAATTCTTCAAGTTGATGTTTGGCAGACTCTGACAACTCCAGGACTGGTGCTTCTGCAGATCTGGCTATTAATGGTGATTTTCTGGGATGTTTTCGTGGGGAATCTGTTTGACCTGAGAAAAAAAAGATAGAAACATTAATTTTGTTGAAGATAACTGCAGTAAAACATAGATCTAGGAATATATGGTAGAAATGGCACACGAAGAAACTTATCATAAAAGTTAAGCTTTCAACTGTTACAAACTACTATTAGAAATGTTAAAATGTATCCGTCTTACAGCACATTGACTTGAGTGTGTACATGTAGGTAAAGGTAGTATCTTTGGTTAGCTTGCTTGCTAGCTGAACCATGAAATCATTATTAGCGAAGGTACAACCTTCTTTTGGGTGAAGTCAATAGTTAAGCAGGGAACCAGACTAGCAGTCAAAAGTAGGAACAGTATATAAATATTGTGAAACCAGTTTTACAAGTCAGTTCAAAAAAATGTTTTCAGGTTGTAGGTGTGTTTGATTTGTCAATCTCATTTCAATCAACTACCTCTGTTCATTTACAACTAGATTGTTCACATGTGTAATACTATAGAACATTATGCTTTAATCGACTTAAAAAGAACTTTTCATATCCTTATTATACATGTTCTTATATATAATAAAGATATTATTATCTTTGATTTTGATGGGTATTTTTTTTTGGAAGAGTGCTACAGAAGGTGTGAAAATAAATGTTTTAAATGTTCCTCTCACCATGCAATTGTAAAAATGGTATCATATTATTTTGATTAAAATGAAATTATTGTAGTAAATAAACCATTTTTAAGATGTTTCATCCACTGGCTTTCTTCAGTTTCTTTTATAAAAGGATAAAATGAAATTTATAAATCAAACACACAATTGACACTATATATTAAATTTAGATTAAAACATATTTCTAAACTGGTTTCACAATATTTATGCACTGTCCTTACTTTTGGTTGGTTCTCTACTTAACTATAATAATTGACTCTGTCCAAAGGAAGGTAGTACCTTAACTTATAATGATTTCCTGGTTCAGCTAGCAAGCAACCTTACCAAAGAAATTACATTTACCCACACAGTCAAGTCATTGTGCTGTTATCTCATAATTTAATAGCTTTCTTTACTTCAGCTTACCAGGTTAAAAAAAAAAAAAGCGGAAAATAAACTGCTTAAATTATGAGGGAAAGAAATACACTTACTAGCACTAGATTTAGATGCTGAGGAATAAGCATGTTCTGACATGCCTGTATGGTTACTAGAACTGACAATTTCTACTTCCATCTGAATATCATCTGAATTCTGTGACAAAGATGGTGGGGACAATGGAATTGAGAAAGGGTTATCCGAGTCAAGATTGAATCCGGAATCTGAGTTTTTCACTGAGTTTATTGAACCACCAAATGCACTTTGTGTTACACTTGCTAGGTGACCTTGGAGTTCAGGGTTATTTGCAGCTTTAAGAAGTTCAGCATTTATTATTTTTTCAGTTTTTTCCCTGGCGGCCTGTTCCACTATCTTTTGACTCAACACACTGAGTTTTGCAAGAGCTGAAGCTAGTTCACTTGTGGTTAAGGCTTGTCTAGCTCTGTCCTGCCATGCCATGCTGCGTTCAGTCAAACATTGTAATGCTTCACCCTCAGGTAATCGAACGGGAAGTTTTTGTAAGGACACAAGCAATGACAGAATTGTCTCTAGTCTCGGTCTCCGAGAACGTAAACACAATGGACAGAGGAATTTGAGATCTTTAGCTGCCTGCACTGCTGCAGCTTGAGCTGATTTGTTCTTGATATTTGCTGATTTAGGTAATGGTACACATGTTCCTGCAAATTAAAAAATAATCATGTTATCACTGCAAAGATGATCTGTACATTAAAATACAGAGGACAAATATGTCAGAAATTAACAGCTTTCTAAACACTACATTTGGATTTTTGTGGTAGACATTGCCAAACTTTTACTAACTTTGGAAAGTGATTTTTCTGTAAATGTGTGGCAACAATTGTGGAACCTATTTCAGGAGCAATTTTTTAAGTTTCCTTGAATTAAACAGGGAAACACACATTATTTCATGCTTATGTTAAAATGCATAATTGACTTATATAAACTTTTTTTTTTTTAGAAAAATCACAATACAAGAACCTTGTAAAACTGCTTGATAAAGTTGGCAAATTAAATTCATTTTGATATGTAACAAGCAAACTTCAATAAAAATTTCAAATGAGATAATAGTGACAGACAGGTAATTTTATTTTTTGCTATTTTACAGTTTCTTTAAAAATATAAAGTGTACAAAAAGTAACCTTAAAAAGCTGTTTCAATAGAACATAATTTTCGTATAAAACTTTGATAAATAAAACAGGTGAACATCAAATGACAGTAAAAACTGCAAGACAGTAAACATTACAGCAGAATGCATTGAGTGTGTAGGTAAAGGTAATATCTTTGGTTAGCTTGCTGATCACAAGCGTCGCACAAGTTGGCACTCCGAGGCGGGTGGGGAGCAAGGTGAACTGTGGTTTATTTTTATCAATAGTACCGCTTAAGTCAACGCTAGGGGCCGTCTTGACCGTGTAGGGTATGAATGATTCGTTCAATGTTGAAGACCCTACATCAACTGTCAAGATGAAGAACAGGAATAAAAGCCCTATTCATTGATAAATTATTTATTTTTACTATGTATTGTGTGCGATTTTGTCCCATGTACATTTACTCCATATCCTTTCATTTTCTATTTTTAGCTGAACCATGAAGTCATTATTAAGTTAGGTAAACTACCCTCCTTTAAGAGTAGACTAGTCCGACCGATAACCAATCTATCTGTCTGTAGGACTAGACTACTCCGAAAGTAGGGTAGTATACCTAACCTAATAATGACTTCACAGTTCACCTAACAAGCAAGCTAACCAAAGATTATACCATTACCTACACACTCAATGCATTCTGCTGTAAATATATATAAAAAAAATTCCTCACCATGGAACCAATCTTTACATAATTCACATTGTAACATAAAGCCAGCGGCTGCCTTTCTACAGATACAATACTTGACTTCATATTGAGATTGGTTAAGTTTCCCCAAGTTGATTTGACGCAATTCTCTCATCGCTTCATATTCTTTGTATTCAGCATTTTTAAAAGCTGCCACCTGAAAATTGTAAAAAAATACCACTATAAATTTAAATGTACAAATTTCAAGATCATTACATTGATTAAGTTTGTGTATGTTTCAAATGGAAATTTTTCCAATGTCAATGATCATAGTCAGTTACTTACAGTTCCCGATTTTTCCTAAGGATTCTCATATTGTCATAAAAATTCACTTCCATACAAATTCAGTTGAAATGATTTTATTGATTAATGTATACTAATAGGACATAATTAGCTAAAATTTGATCCATGGTGGTGATAAAAAAAGGTTCTCCAAACACCTCCTCTGCAATTATTTCATGAACAGGCTAAAATTCCATGAAAACTTCATACTTAGAACTTACAATTGCAGCAGGATCTCTTTGTTCTTCCACTTTATACTCTGTATTATTATTATTGTTATTATTTTCACTGTCCCTTCTTTCTCTCTCCTCTCTTTTCTTCTTTCTATTCTTGGCTCCACTGTAAACACCAACATCTGCCCTTGGTGATAACACCTATAAATATAATAATTAGATGGTTTAATAATAAACATAATTTAGCATTATTGTTTGCTTAATGTCCAGTGGCAAATATCTCATTCACTTCATTTCAAACGGACAAGGCTGTGTAATAATTAAATCCTACATAGTCAACCCTTTTGGTTTTTCATAAAACCAACAACTTAACTTTCTGAACTTAAAATTTCACAATTTAATATACATGATATATACAGGTGTATTACGAATGAACTTCTAAGAAATTACAAAAGCATCATGGGTGCATAATTTGAGTTGTGATCTTCATGGATATCAGTAGAAGAAACATATTTCTGTACAGAATACAATGTTGTCTGCTTTAAGTTTATAAAAAAAAATGTCAAAATTTCAGTCTGTTGATTGCTGCTGTAACCTTGACCTTTGACCTAAAACCCAATAGGGGTCCTTTTCCCCTAATAGGTCACAAAATATCCAATTAATGACTCAAGATATTGTCCTGAAACAAAACTCTTCCAATAAAAGAAAAAAAATGAGTCTGAGGATATGAACGCCTGCGCTCAAGCTTAGAAATTTTCAAGTTAAAAAGGCGCACAACTCACAGTCCAAATTTAAACTCTGTCTCGGTGTTGTGTTTCTTCACATTGTGTACAAATTTCATAAAATTTGGATGAGACAAACTCAAGTTAGAGTGCGAAAACTAAAAATTTGCAATTTTCCTTTTATAAAGGGGCATATCTCTAGAATGTAAGTGATTCACTGCCCAAATTCGAATTCTATCTGTGAGTTTCGATTCTTAGCATTGCGTATGAGTTTCATAAAATTTGGATGAAGAAAACTTTAGTTAGAGTGCGTAATTGAAACATGGGACAGACGGAAGGACTGTCAAAGGTAACACTTAATGCCCTGTTGCATAAAAGTTGGGTCTATTTTAGGTACTGTTTTGAGTTTTAACAATTAAAATGGCTTTCTACTTTCTAAAGTTCATCTATCGGTGGGAAATTTTAGCGAACCAAGTTAGATAAAAGTTCCACATATGGTTCAATTAATAACATCCAGAAACCAACATATTGCCTAAATATCAGTCTATCAATAACTGTTGGGACTTTGACCTTTGGACTACAAAATGAATAGTGTCTTTCACTTCAGATGAGGGATTATGGAAACAAGTTTGGTAAAAGTTGGACATATGTTGCAAAAGATAACAACAGGAAACCAAATTTTTGCCCATATTTTAGTCTATCAATAGCTGCTGTGACCATGACCTAATACCCCCAAAATCAATAGGGTCAACATAATCCCATTGGGTTCAAAAGATTACTAACAGAAACCATGCTGTAACACAGACCTACTGACCCGAAAATCAAAAGGGGTCTTTCTCTTGCATTTGGGCATTATTAAGCCAAGTTTGGTCAAGATATTCCTTATGGCTCATAATTTTTGTCCAGAAACCCAGCCTGCTGCCTGGACAATTGGAAGCCATCCTGCTAAACATTCAGATGGCATTCATCATATTATAAGCCAATTTCAACTTAAACCATAATTCTTACCTCTAACAGGGTATATGTAGAATTTTTCTTCAGAAATGTCCGTGCTGTTCTCTCCCTCCATGATTTTGCAGCTGCTACCTGAGATTCAACTTGTGGCAACTGGTCCAGTCTAACTGGGATAGGCCGTCCTTTGTTAACAAGGGTCTCTAACACATCAAGGTAAGGATATGATTCAGAATTCTGAAAAGAGAAAACAATATTGTAATGATCAATTATGTACTGGTGTGAGCTAATCTACACATTATTTAGCTCAATTGCAACATATATTGCAGTTACTTCATGGTATGGGTCATTTAAGTATAAAATTGCCCAATGAGTTAGATCGACTTGGTCACATGTGGATGATGCATGGTAATTTTATACAAGTCAGACTTCTCATTGTTGGAGTGGATTTCTTCTTTTAATACACATAACAGTTGGTTCTAAGTTTACAAGTAACATGGATATTATTAGTTACATAGTGTGGTAGTGACCTAATATGATATATATATGGAATTTATTGATCCCATATATTTCATATTAGGTCACTAGCACATTATGTAACGAATTTATCTTACTGACTATCTTAACATGTGGCATTTAGACTAGTGGTCTATCAAAGTGATCAAGTCTTCAATATAAAAAACCTACTTCCATTGGTCTATACAAAAACAAATGCCAACAATAACAATTTGTTAGCTTTAATTTGTTTTCTGCATTTATTTCAATTGTTCATCATTAATTTCTTCGTTTGTTGAAACGTTTCAGACTTTTCCTTAACGCTGTGTTGTTTTTTTTATAAAGGGGATGTAACACCACTACTAACAGTGCATCAAAATAAGCCATGCCTACTAACCCCATAGCTTATAACCAATGATATTCCTAGAAATGTATAAGAGGTAAGATAAGTCATGTTCTTACCTATTTAGCAAGACAAAGTTTCTTTTTATTTCAGGGTCCAACAGGGGAAACAATGTCCTGTTATGTCTTTGGTGATAATTTGCCATTAAACAAAGTATATCTAATATTAATTTAACGGAAATTTGATAGTTTTTATTGTTTGATGAAGTAACAAGATTTGGATTTGGAAATACAGGAGTTTTTATTGTATGATGAAGTAACAAGATTTGGATTTGGAAATACAAGATTTTGACTGTTTCCTAAACGACAACGAATTTTGTGCAACCCATAGCAGTACCTATGGGGACACTTTTGGGATAGCTTAATTCTAGATGCTGTACAAAAACGTGAGCAGGAGATATTTGGCGTTTAAGTAAAATTAGTTTTAATATAAAAATTTTATAAGACTGAAATTTAGCACAAAGTGACCTTCTGCTATACTACTGAAAGAAATCAGATATACTGAGGTCATTCTCAGATTTATATTTTTGAAAAACTATGAAAAAATGAGCAATCCAGTACTCCTGACAAAGACATTTATTTACTTGATATTTGTATAGGTGCTAGTGGGATATAACTCTGCAAAGGGAACAGTTACATACATACGATATTAATCCTAAATTGTTTATTCTTTAGACTTACATATTTTGGTTGAAACTGAAAGTTTCTAGTCGACTCAACAATACTAGGAAAAGTTGTCACATATTTTGGAGTCGACTCGACAATACAAGGTAAAGTTGTCCCCATCTGAGAAGATTTCAAGAATTAGAGTAAAGGGAGAAAGACCATAGAAAAAACAAATTTAATATGTTAACATAAATCCTGTCATGAATGAAAAGTCATTTAATTTCCAAACAATTATCTGTCTTATACATGTATTTACATTATTCCTTTATGTTTTATAATGTATGTTTCCAATCCCATAACCAAGTTTGATGTATTAAGTATTTTGATCGGTAGCATATAAGTACATATATATATCCCATGTAGGCTAACGTAATATGTGACAATGTTCACCAATACTTTACATAAATTTGCTTAACATGCATGCATAGCATGATCCAATAATTTAAGCATATTGTTAAAAGTATGATTTAAAGTCATAATTTTTAATAAATAAAGAATCAATCTTGAAATGCAAAAAATGTCAGATTCTTTCAAAGTAAACATAACAAAAGGCAATTTGGCAAGATCAATTTGATGCAGACTTTATTCTTCTTTGAATGAAAGCAACTAAAAGTTAGTACATGATGCACATATAACCTGATGTGACAAACAATTTGAACCATGCAGCTATGAGACATTCTGTCATGGCTTGATTATGTTGCATTGATTTAGCTATCATAATAAAAACAAAGGCACCCATCAATTAATAATGGTTACTCTTTATAGACAGCACGCAAAATTACATTGTCATATACAACAAAGGTAATACTGTCTGAAAAAAAAAACAAACATTATATACATGTAGGTAATATTTCCTGCTGCAAATATCCAATCCAGTGATATGAATGATCCACACCACAGAAACTCAGTTATTTCAAGGATTTTGTATTTTTATATGTACCAAAAAGTGTTCCAATAGAAGGTATGTCTTATACATAAACTCACCTGAACAGTTTCCACTTTATTTGTCCATTCCTTAGCTTTGCGTAGGGCATCTTTTAATGCTGTAACATTTGGGAGGTAGGCAGGGATGCCCTCTGCTTCCTTTATAATAGCTTCAAGTGTTGCCATCACATGTCGGGGTCTGGAATTTAACAATAATTAATTTTCAAATCTAAAATTTCCAAAAATCTAAATTAAACATTTCTCAAATATATATTTTTATTGGTCACCTTCATAGCCAAAAGATTCTTAAAGTTCTCATTTTTAATTTAATGCTCATTAATTTGTTATGTCTTCATAACTGATACTAGTTCTTACCTAGCTTGGAGACATATCCTGGCCTTTTCTTCCCACCTTTCACTGACAGTCAACAGTTCTTGTAGCTCAGCCATAGCCTTCTCCACTGCAGGATGAGGAGCCAGACCTACACCAGAGTCCATTAACTTTCTCATTACATCTAATGTCACATTCAGAGGTTCCCTCATTGTCTCCCTCACCTCATCTAACCATCTGGCTTGCTGTAGAACCTGTTAAGTAAGACAGGTCAAGTAATAAAAATTATTGAGATACCTTTATTTCATGGAATTTTACACTAAAAATTATATAAATGGTATTACCTATTTTCTTGCAAATGATCAGTTCTCTTTGAATTTTGTCTAGAAAGATTAAATCTTTTTTGGTGGGCTTCAAAATGAATCTTGCTTTCAAGTAACTTTACCATAGATTCATATGTTTCTAAACCACCTGAGCATTTTTAAATTAAAATATAATTGACCAGTTGCAAGAAAATAATTTTAAAATTGTACTAGTTTGTGTCAAGTATAAAACACAATATTAGCCCAACTTCGAGCTGCTTTTTTTATTGTTACTTTCAAATTAAACTTTGCCCTAAAATCAACTTTTTAAATGCTGGGTTTAATATATGGAATTTGAAGATTTTTAAATGCTAAAATAAGTTATCAAAATTGATTTATATGTTTATCATACACATAAATAAAGCTTGGGTGGGGAAAAGTAGGACAATCAGATTAATGTATTGAAATTTAAAGCCAAAGGAAAATTTGAAGACTTATTTGTAAGTGTTCACTGTAATTGCTAATGACACTTAGTACACCAATATCTTCTCCTTTGTCATACCTGTTTAAGCCTGGGAATTTCCACCAAGTCTACATCCATAGTGGCACTGAACTCAATTAACTGCTCAAGTTTTTCTGAGTCAGGAGTTTCTGCATTCAGAGCATCCTGCGCTTCTTTCTGGAAGTTTATCACTTGATCAAGTAATTCCTGTAGTAAAGAATAGAAGCATATTAATGTGTATTGTACATATAGGATCATGAAAGGTTAGAATTTAGAAATGATTTTGGATTTATAAACACATTACAAATTTGAAAACATAAAGGTTTCCAATAATTTCTCAACTGGGAAACCCTGAGGAAATTCTAAACAAAAAAGCACCAGCTGTAGAAATATTTTTTTGCAGCTTTAGATCCTAAATGAAAAGGTTTATATCAAATTTTCAATATTTCCTAGCAGGAATAAGTTTTGAAATTGTCCTTATCTTCATTTAACATTTGGGTTTTCCGACCAATTTTCTCAAATTTGGAAACTTATTGCTGGATAAACTATGCTGTTCATATGAATAATGTATTTTAAATTCGTTGTTACAAGCAATTTGAACCATGCAGCTATAAGAAAGTCTGTCACGGCTTGATTATGTTGTATTGATTTAGCTATCATAATAAAAAGACAAGCAGCCACTAAACAATGGTCACTCTTCATAGATAGCAACATTTTCATATTTTATTTATTTATATATAAAACAAAAAATACCAAGAAGTATGACTGCATTTTGTCCTTGACTGGTTTCCTTTTTATTACGAAATGCCGGTCAAGATAACAGTTCCTTGATTGAATTAAGGTGACCTAACATATAAATATATACTATAAATGAAAATTTAAGTCCTAAAATTGGGCTTTTGTACACACTTCATATGATTTAAATATTTTCATCATTTCATTTTTGATATTTTTATTAATTCATTTCCAAGTAATATCAATGTATGTTGTATTCACCTTGACCAGTCTAGCCTCTTTAATAATGCATGGCAAGTTAGCAATTTGCTCATAGAAACAATTCAATTCATCCAGACTAAGCTTGGCTATATATTTTCCTTCATTTGACTGACGATTTCTGAAATTTAAAAAAATAAACATTTAACAATCAAGAAAAATTAATGAAGAGCAGTATGGACAAAGTTCTGTTATTTTTAACTTACATTTACCACTCTGATTAAAATGAATGACAAAAATATAGTATTTTTAATATGCAAGAGATTAATATAGTTATTTGGACTTTGATGTTAAACTTTTTCTAATGAATCAGTTGACACACTGTTTTGAATTGTTGTGACAATGAAATTTTTTATCATCATGCAGAGAAAGAATAAAGATTAATTGATTAGTTAGTGATGACATACCCTAACATGCTAGTTACAGTAGAATTGATATATACTGACCTAGTTCTAACTTTTTTGGTGACTAACTGGTTAGCTACACTGGCACATTTGTCTGCCTCACTGACAGTATTAATCAAATTTTGTAGTAGTTCTGATTCTGGATATCTCTTCTCATCAGCTTCAGTTATTAGTTCTTTGATCTCATTCAACTCTGAAAACAATTTTATCACAAATTAACAATATCCAGTAATGATGCTGAATATCAAAGACTGTTAGGCCAAAAATAAAATAAGAATTGTTTGTTGCCTACCTACCCACCTAAAAAGCAGCCTACCCGAACAATTTTAAGACACAAATTTTCTTTTCTTTTCCTGCTCTAATGTTGTTTTGTTGTATAAAACATGTAACTTATAATGTTGGCAAAAAAGTAAAAAAAATCCCTACCTACCTACCCAACCCCACAAGGCATGGGTAGGCAACATCAAACAAAAAATTTCTTATTTATTTGGCACAACTTTTTGGAATTTTGGGTGCTCAATGCTCTTCAATTTTGTACTTGTTTGGCTTTATAACTATTTTGATCTGAGCGTCACTGATGAGTTTTATGTAGACGAAACGCGCGTCTGGCGTATTAAATTATTAACCTGGTACCTTTGATAACTATTAAGGATGGCCTTAGGACTTTCTATTCTTAAAGCTACACTGTATATAATCATGTCTGAAATTATTTATCCTACACATGTTCACAAGTTTGTTGCTGTTCTTTAATCTGTGTTTTCAGTTTTCGTAAAGTGTATAAATTATTAAGACAGCAATGTTATTAGTTTAATCAGAGTCGATGGGTCAATTTTTAACCCAGCTTCACAGTTCACAATACTTAAAACTTTCATTAATGAATACCACAAAATTGTTAATTATTGAAAATTACACAAAATATAATGCACACTTTGATTTTTTTATTTATTTTCTATTTAAAGATGCAACTTTTTTGGAAAGATTGTTAGTTCATGAAACATTGAGCTAAAATCAATTCAATACTAGGTTTTAACTTTAGTGTTTTATATCAGTAAATAAATAATCAAAGCAATACAAATTGATGACTCAATTCTATATTTTCACTAAAGTTAAAACCAATAAACTTACCAAGTCTATTGTCTCCCGAGGCATCCATAGCCTCACTAACTTTATTAGTCCAATTATCAAAGGATTCTGCTCTGACTTTTAGTTTGTGAAGCATCCCAGGCAATTCATCAAGGGTATATCTGAACCGAAGAACATGGTTTTTAGGGTCACAGTGACATAGGTTTTCTGCATGGTTGGCACATACTATTTTATCTGAAATTAAATTGAAAATATGAAGAGATAATTCTGATTGCTTACATATTTTTAAATTCATTTTTAAATGTTAAGTAAAAAAAAAAATTTAGTTTGAGATAAGCTTCACTGCACAGAAATTATTGTACAGTGTAGAGTAGCATTCCAGGGAATTTGAAATTGTATAACGCAAATAATTCAAATTTTCAAATTTAAAACTTAAGTGCAAGAAATTCAATTTTTTTCTATCATTTTTACAAAAATTTCTATGACTGAAATGACTGACAAAAATTTTAGGCTTTTTCCATTTTTCAAGGTAAAGCAGGAACCCTGTATATATGTTGTATGGAAGTTATAACCTTGCTATGCTACATTTGCAGACCCTGACTAACTGTACTATACCATTTGAAGTTAAAAATAGTTGTGTGTACAACCCTACCCTGTTTGTGACAAATCTTACTTTGTTTAGCCGGAGAAGCATTTTGGAAACTATAATGCTTACTTGCTGCACAAGAGCATGTAACGGCAGAAAGAAAACAAGTGGTTTTACAGTAATCACACTGTCTCTCATCATCTGGTAACAACTCAAAGGCTTCTCTTTCAGCTTCGATTGTTCCCTGAAAAAGTAAGATGCTTATAGTACATCCCAAGATATGTCCGGAATATTTCTAATCCTGCTAATCTATTTTACAAATATCTATCACATCCCCACCTTCCTAACAAAAGAAGAAAGAAATAGAATGGAGTGAACGTATAAATATGAAAAAATAAAATCAGATTTGTAACCAATATTTAACAATTGTAATTGTATAGTGTTGTTGTCTTTAATGTAGATTATAATGTAAAGAAAGTGAGAAAAAAAATCAAATAATCTATGTATTCTTACTCTGTCCAATAGTTTCTTTCTTAAAACTTTTTCCCTTTCAGCAATTATAAGTAAATCTTGGTAGGTTTTTGCTGCCACAACAAGGTCAAGTCCATCTGGGTCTGCAGCCATCTTACACACCAGTTCTTCATGTGAGAATACACACTGACGATGCAGTATTCTGTAATGCTCTACACATAATCTTCCCATTGGGAGCTATAATCAAATATATATATAAACAATCATCATTTACAAATATATGTATTCAATTAGAGCTATTTTTCTAATGCTTGTAGCACTTTAAAGGTTTGGTTGGCTTGCTTGCTTTGTTTGTATTAATGTTTGCTCAAGCATTGTAATTAAGATTGACATCTGCAATCAATAGATAGGTGGGGCTTCAGCTTGTATACATTATATTTAAATGTTATTGAGTATAATGTATACAATCTGAAGCCCCGCCTTTCTATTCACTCTCAATTTGTATCGGATATTTTTTTTTATTATCAAGAACTGCATCAGATTGATCTAGAACTAATATATAAGTTAGTGTATTGGTCCCAGACATGATTGGGAAATCTAATTTATATCACCACTTGTCATAATTTTGTAAAACATTATTGAATGTCCAGGACATCATATTAGTTGTAATTTGAGATTCTGTGAGAGATTTTAGGCCTATAAATGGAGATATCTCCCAATCACATACTAATTAACTGATAAAGTGCTATTTTTTATTATCTCTCTTATCAATTTCGGTCGTAGAAACAAAATACACTGCTGATCACGTGTGGTACGTTTGCAATAAAATTATCTATCAGCTGGATTTTTACTTTTTATATTTCAATTTTTATTCAATTAATAAAATAAAATCTCCCATTAATTTTCACCCCTTAGCCTTCCAAATAGTACAACTGGTCAGTGTATAATAATAACAATAAAACAGATCCGCTGAGTGATTACGCAACATCCTCATGACAAAAATCATCTTAAATGATAAAACTATAACAGTCGCTCGGTTTCCTGTTTAAATAGTTTTGAAAGTTAAATCAGATGTTGTTTAAAGTCGCTGTTGTATTTATTGCATTTAATCGTTGACAGTATTAGTCTGTGGTTGTTTGAAAATCTTTATTTCTTTGTCAGTCACCATTTTTGTTTACCTGTGAGACTTGAAAATCACAACTTGTCTCCCTTTAATATACCAATTTTGATAGTGATTTGACTTCGCTATGAAGAAGTCAGTCGACTGGCAGTTTAAGCGATTTTCAAATTACTTAACTTAAATTGTCATTTTGCTGGCAAGATTATGACCTGCATCTTCTCTATTCATATACATGATCTTACCCAATCAGCAGTACAGAAATTCACAGCTTCAGCAAAGTTATATCCTTGATTAAATCCTGCATGGTAAGATCTTGGAAATGTCACCATGAACTCTCCAGCATGCTGGTCAGCTCTCACAATCTGTTTTATAAAGAGTTTATTTGATTTGTGCCAAATCAATTTTCCTTTCCATAAATAAATACATATAAAAAACCTTGTATCATTGGTACCAACATTTCTACGTGATATCAAATTCCTCCCACCTCCCATCTTTCAAACATTTCAAAGCTGTTAATCAACTATTAAAAATTTCAAATTGTATATACAGTTTATTATTTCATAAGCAAATTTATAACTGTTAAGATTTTCACAAAAATTGTTCATGAATGAAACTAACTGGGTAAGACAGAAAGAGTTTTTAATGATCTCCAGGAATGTTATCTATACTTACTGGCACTCCCTGATCCATAAGTACATTTGGGTTCATCGTAGTGGTCAACTGATGTAACAGGTCTGGAGACTGTTCGAACAGGTCAGGGGCTCGTGATTTCATTGCTGCTTCAAACTGATCTGCACAACCACCTGGTACACCATACCAAGTTTTAGGTTCTCCCCTAAAAAATCAAATCAAAACTTGATCTCCACTGAGAAACTGACTTTTAAATGAATTCGAATAAATAAAAGTGAAGCCTTGACTTATTATAATTTGTGACAGGTTCTTGTAATGTACCCGTCTACAGCAAAACACCTTTATCAACTGATTATCTCAGACTACGTATTTGCTTCTTTTTTTTTTTTAGCGTTCTTAAAATAGACTGTTGAATTGTTTGCTAAGTACACATTTTTTTTTGGGACCTCATAGAGACTGATATATGGCATAGGGTCTCACAGTTGTTGCATGTTAAGTAATCTTTAGATGTTCATTTTCATCAAAAGATTTTTTTGTTAGGATTCCATTACATATGTCACACATTGGCATATACAATGTGTAGTATCCATCAATCAGACATGGACCAAAAGATTTTAGATAAAAGCTATGTCAAAATATCAGTAACAACTCACCAATGTAAATAGTTAATAGAATAACTCCAGTGATCCTCATTATGCCAACAGAAAGCAGAGAAACACATCCCAACATAGCACCATGGTACCTAAAGAAAAACAAATTATTTCATACTTATGAATACAATGATTGGTAAATAATCATTCAATCGTGAAGACCTGATAGTTAAAAAAATAATGAAGTATGTGTACAAGTTTAATTACCTACATGTCCTGTCCAGTAATTTTAAAGCATGAGAGAATACATTCATGAAACAACTATATATAATACAGTAATCAAGAATAAATGGCCACTACTAAATCACGCATGTAAACTTTTCAGCAATTCCAGCAGAATTCCTGGACATTTCACTTAACAAATATCTGGGTTTGAATCGGTTTTCAGAAATTCCGTCAGGCTGGAGGTTTGAGTACTTTCCACATTGCCTTTTGAATTATTAACTTCAATAAAATGACAGGTAATTTCAAGTATCTTTTTATTTCTCTCTCGTTAAATCATTTCAGGCATAAACATATCCTATTTTCATTCTCTCACCTTCATTCCAGATATATCTGCATTGATGTGACACAATACTGACTGTTCAAGTATTGGTAGGTTGTTAAGATTCCAGCCAGAATTAATGTACTCCTGAAATAAAAGGATATTACTATAAATTAGTGTTCAGAGTAAGATGTGTAGATAAACATTTTTATCTTTACAATTCTCTTCTGTTTTACTATCCTGAAAATTGCATGAAATTGAATTGCCAATTAACTTTCTTGGCAATAAGTCAATGCTATTTCCATTACCCTAAAAAATGTAAATTTTACCCCATTTTTTTTGCGTTTGTGCAATACACTATGCTGTTGAATATTAACCCCCCCAAAAAAATATTTGAAATTTTCTTTTAATTTCTGAAATCTGAAATGAGAAAAATTGCCCCCCTCCAATTTTTTTCACCTCCTCCCTTTCCCTTATTCTAAAAAACAATTCTTTCCCTCAAGTTATGGTCAGTACCTCAGACAATCATCATTTCTTAATACATAATTTACAAGAAGTGTAAGGGAGGTAATCAAACATTGTTATTTAAATTGATTTGGATTTTGATTTGGATTACCTCTCTTACACTGCTTTTAAATTGTCTCAATTGTCCTTTAACCAGAAAAACCCTTGTTTTTCCCCTTTTTTTGCCCCTAATTCCTAAATGGTTTGAGCCATAACCCCCCAAAGTCAATCCTAACCATCCCTTTGTAGTATGGAAACTTGTGGTATAATTTCAGAGAGATTCAAACACTTTAACACAAGTTATTGTCTGGAAACTACAAAAATGCTCATTTGGGCCCCTTTTTTGGCCCCTTTATTCCTAAACAGTTGGGACCATAACCCTCAAAATCAATCCCAACCTTCCTTTAGTGGTTATAAACCTTGTGTTAAAATTTTATTGATTTCTATTTACTTATACTTAAGTTATTATCCGGAAACCATCTGTCATCGGACGACGACGACGACAACGACGACAACGACGACAACGTGATACCAATATACGACAAAAAATTTTTTAATTTTTGCTGTCGTATAAAAAGTGTAATTTATTGATTGATTGGTGTTTAATGCCACCTTCAACACTTTTGTGCTTTTTCGTGGCCGTCAGTTTTTATTGGTGGAGGAAGCCAGAGTGCCCGGAGAGAACCACCAACCTTCGGTAGAAAAACTGACAATCCTAGTCAATTAAGATTGGAGTCGAGTGCACCCTTGCCCATGCAGGATTCGAACTCACAACCTGAGTGTTGACAGGCTAGTGATACAGTAGTTTGACTATTTAGACCACTCTGCCACCGAGGCCTCATAGAAAGTGTAAGAATTGAAGACTACTAATAAATACTTGAAAGTAGACTGATCAGTGTTAAATAATGGACAGCAGACTGTTTATATCAACCATAAAAATTTTGAAGAGTGTATTATATATAACCTATATCCTGGCATTTTTTAAATCAGTGTTTTGAGATAAGCTACCAAAAGATTCCATTTATATGTTTACAAATCCTCTTGAAATGGGAAAACTCATTGGGTAATTCCATTTAAATGAGAGTGAGAAGGGAAAGTATATCTTGTGACATGGGTTGTGAGTCATGTATGGTTTTCTGCTCTTTGGTCGGGTTGTTGTCTCTTTGACTGCTGTTGCAATAAATTTTGGTCAGACAACAAAATTAATAGAAATATTAGCTTATAGAGTAATCTGAACCAAGCTTTCTTCACTTAAGGAGTATTGATTTAAACAGGTAATGACTTTTCAACTTTCTATGACAATCTAAACAGAGTTGAGCAATTCCAAGAAACTACAAAAACAGAACTATGTCTTCTTTCAATGATCAGTGAAGTTAAATGTTAACAAGCAACAAAGATCACACAACTTCCTAAGCACAATGTAGCAGGAAGTTTTATATAGAAAAACTCAATAACTTCATGAATTAAGGACTGAAAGTCACAGAAACTTATTACACAACAAACCTCATCTTCAGGAAACAAATCACTGGTTTGTTTTGTTGGGAAACCACTCCCCATCTCCATTGCATGAATATCAGCTCCATACTGCACACATACATCTTCCTCAATACTCGACACTAGTCTCCAAAATTCACTTTCCACTTGACTTAATGGTACCATCTGATAAATAAAGCATAAACACATGAATATTTCATCCATACTTTTGGTAATACTTAGAATTTTTTTTTTTTTAGATATAAGTTGCATTAAAACAATATAACTGAAATCTACCCATTGTAGCCAATTTTAATGGAGTTTGAAACTCTTAAAATATAATAAGAAAACAAAGATGGCTGTCAATATGAAAATCAAATTCAAACATTAAAATTTTCAGCATATATTCTTGGCAATAAACATAACAATTGAAATTTTTTGTTTTGATAATCTGTTAATCAAAAGTGAGCTTGCCCCCTAAATAACAATTCCAGGGTATATGAAAATCAAATACAGCATAATATTAATCAACAATTACTACAAGAGGAACTGACTTGTACAAACAATTGGCATTACATTCTGTAGATTTACCTAAATGTCACTAGTACATTTTTTTTGTAGTAACAGAAAATGTATTGCTTCATAGGTGTTTGCTTTCATGGTTTTACCTATATCTTCATCTACTAGTATTTCAACAAAGACTTATAATGCTGTGTAGCCTTAGAAACAAATCAGTATATTAAAATGATTATAGTTCAACTCATTTATATGCTTTTAAGAATAGGTCAGCTTAAGTGTATTAATTTGACATGCTTATAAAACTAATGGCTTATAATCTTTCTTACATGAACAGGCATGTTGAAAAAATTAGACTTGAACTGGTCAGCATGTTCCCCAAAAGACTGCAAAGTATATTCTCTCTTTGACTGGTCAAATCCATATGGCTCTAGTGGTTTGGAACAGACCTAAAACACAAAAACATTAGTCCAACGCAAAGCAAGAACATACATCAATTCAATTTCCAAATGGTCTATAATTGTAAAGGTCACTAACATAATCTATACAACACAGTATTGCAATTTCTATCTATATTTTAAATTTTTTAACAGTTAGGTAAATTCTCCTTAATCTTTATAAGAAAATACCAAAACCGCTTTCAATTTTAATACAATATTACTGCATTGAGGCCAAAAGTTGCACACTGCTAACATTTGAAAAATGGTGAAACTTGGCAAAACTAAAATGATCACTGACATATCATGAACAAACATCTTTTACAAATGGACTCACATTTTAAACACAATGCTTTATACTCCTGTCTTATGTTATCACAATAATTCACATTTTTTTTAAATCCTCAATAACCAAAGCAAAAAATTTCAATTAAGCAATTAACAGTAACATATATAATTTTGTGTTACTCATCACATCTGATGTGAAATATATTGAAAGCTCAATGACATTCTTTTGAAATACTATTTGATTTGATTTTGATTTTTGGTGTTTTAACGCCACTTTTAAGCACCGCTTTTGGGCTATTTCGAGGCGGCCAGTTTTTATTGGTGGAAGAAGCCGGAGTACCGAGAAAACCACCGACCTTCGATAGGAAAACTGACAATCCTAGTCAATTAAGATTGGAGTCGAGTGCACCCGCACGAGCGGGGTTTGAACTCACAACCTCAGTGTTGACTGGATAGTGATAACAGTAGTAACTACTTAGACCACTCTGCCACCGAGGCCCCGAAATACTATTTGAAAGACAAATTACCTGTTTAACACATTTAGGACAAATTACCTGTTTAACACATTTAGGACATCTCCAGTCTCCCTTAGGTACCTCAGCAAGTGGTGGAATCAGACAATATGTGTGAAAGGCATCGTCACATCCATCACATAACAACATATATTCATCTCCATCACCACGGTTACACATGTGGCATATGTAGAAATCAATCTATATAAAATATATATAAACATATAATAATTATAATTAATCCATACACTGAATATTGTAATTAAAAAAACATTTTCCAGAAGAAAAAAAAATATGTGTTTTTACAATGTTTACTAGTGTTGTCAACGGTTAACCAGTTAACCGTCGGAAGGACCAAATGGGCAAATACCAAATACCAAAAACTCTAACCGGTTAACCGGACCCTTTTCAATTTTAATAGATTTGATATAAATGTGTATTGAAATCATCAATAAAATTTGTTAAATTTTAAAATAATTGTCATGGTATCTTAATTGATTGATTAATTGTCCCGAATATGGCCAATTCGTCAAGATTAAAAAGATTTTTATCTTCGCAATCTGCAGTTATTACAAACATCATAGTAGATATAGCATTGAATTAATATAAATTAAACTTCACTTGCAATGTTCAGCGCCAAGCCTTATAATGCCCAAGGATAAAGTTCAATTTATCATAAACTATCATAAAACCGAGCATTGTAAAGTACTGTAGATCAGACCTTAAAAATCAACTAAACTACCGGTTAACTGGTTAATCCGTAGAAAGATTATCCGAGTAACCGCTTAGGCAAAACGGTCCAATTTGACAACACTAGTTTTTACAGTACCCTGACAGAGTCTAAATATTTAGAGCTGACCCTAACTTTTTTTTTCCGCTAGAAATTGGGCAGATAATATTTTAAATGGTATTGTTCATAAATCAATGTTCATTTTGTTGAACCCGCTAGCCTTACGCTGTGAAAAGACACCAATTATTGTGTAAAACCAAGAAAATACATACATGTATATGACTGACAAAAACAAATTTGACAAATGGTCCCATACCAGAAATATAGGTAAATGCAACTGGATCCGATTTTGTTCTTTCCAGGCTGCAGACATAGCAATGTTATTTTTTTCAGCAGGTGACAGCAAACAATTCTTTTTATTTTGCCTTATCAAACTTTTTCAATGAAGGATTATTAAATCTTCAGTGTTTCAATTTGTAAACATTTTTTTTCTCTTTTCTTTTTCTTTCTGCACTTGTAAGTCACCTATGAATTTTATGTGCAAATTTGACAAAACCATGAAACATATAAAATGGAAATGATCTGTTTTTCAACCATTGTATGAAAACTTGTTTCAGACCCATTAACACCCAATTCTTTTCACTCTATACTAATTCCTATGGACCTGAACCCAGTAAATATTTTACAACTTACCCCAGTATAAGCAGTTGGATCTACAAACTTATCTCTCATTTTCATCTTGTTCTTTGGTAGTTTGGGTTTCTCATCTGTTGACGAAATATTTCTTATTAAATATGTTTAAGAAGTTTCCTGCCACTTAAGTGTTAATTTCTCAATGCGTTAGCTTTCAACTATGTCTTTAAATAAATTATTATATAAAACTTAAGGCCTATGTTTCAGAAAAAGTTGCATGCTTTGTGGCCAGCCTTAAATCTTTATCAAACAATACAAATAACATTTGGTCGAAAATTGTAAAACCTTTTGGGAAACACAGGACAGGTTGGTATTATAAATATTCATAAATTTACAGTATTTCAGAATGTTTCCCCTGTTTTTATGATAAATGAAATGTTTATTTTTAAGAACATTTTCAGCATATACACACTTTGGTAACACATTAGAACCAAAGTTATTTAAAATCATAATATATTTCAAACTATAGGTAATGCAAACAAAGCTTATTAAATGATATCCTTGTCTCAACATAAAGCAATGATCAAGTTTCATGATTTGCGTACAGAAACCCATAAAATGAATCAGATCAAAAACAATGGCATTATATGGTACAGATGCTGGAAAAGTTTCGATAAATTCTAATTGAGGGTAAGAAGAAATTGAGGATACAAAATTAGCATCCCCAGAGAAAGCAATGATAAAATACATTAAATATGGCTATTTTCCTCAATTTCTATACTTAAGGAACTATCAGCATATGTTTATTTTCACTGCAACTTGCTGTTCCAACTGAAAAGTTCACGATTACTGTCAAACGTGTGCTTTACAAGAAGGTCAGAGATGAATATTAAATAAATAGAAAGTACTAATATAATACCTTGCCCAGGAACAGCTGCCTTCGGTCCTGCACCATAAAACTGTAACTTCTTAAGTTCAGAATTAACATTGTAATCAATATCAAGCTCCTGAAATGAAAGCTATGTCTGAAATTTCTCATTCTTCTTACAATCAATTCTTACCTATTATATGTTAAACTTACCTTTGAAAAAGATTTTTTTTTTAATATTGAGAGGTTACAGCAAAGCTTAAATAAATGGGGAATGTGTCAATGGGACACAGATGCATGGACACAGATGATGCCCCCTCTTGCATATCATATAAAGTTATAAAGGGACATAACTGAAGAACAGTAAAAGTGACGGTATCCAAATTTGTCAATGATCTGAGTTTTGTAGTAATAAGTATTGTGTATAAGTTTCATAACATTTGGTTGAGGCAAACTTAAGTTAGAAAACAGAAACAAAAAATTCAGCAATTTTTCCTTTTGTAACGGGGCATAACTCTAGAACGGTAAAAGCGACGCTACCCAAATTTGTTATTGATCTGAGTTTTGTAGTAATAAGTATTGTGTATAAATTTCATAACACTTTGTAGAGGCAAACTTAAGCTAGAGAACAGAAACGAATAAAATGCTTCGCTGGGGCGCAGCTTGATACGACCGCAGAGGTCGAACCCTGAACAGTTGGGGCAAGTATGGACACAACATTCAAGCTTGATACAGCTCTGAATTTGGATTGTTATTAAATATTTGACACAGCATAGGTTTCTGACACAGAAAGAATGTGGTCTAAGAACTTGAATTTTTTTAATTTACCTATTATGGTCCAATGTCCAAAATCAAAATACATGGTTAGATTCAGCATATCAAAGAACCCCATATATTCAATTTTTGTTAAAATCAAACAAAGTTTAATTTTGGACCCCAACTTGGACAAACTTGAAAACTGGGCCCATAATCAAAAATCTAAACACATGTTTAGATTCAGCATATCAAAGAACCCCAAGAATTCAATTTTTGCTAAAATCAAACTAAGTTTAATTTTGGACCCTTTGGACCTTAATGTAGACCAATTTAAAAAACGGGACTTAAAATTAAAAATCTAAATACACGGTTAGATTTGGAATATCAGAACCCCAATAATTCAATTTTTGATGAAATCAAACAAAGTTTAATTTTGGACCCTTTTGACCTCAATATGAACCAATTTGATAGCGGGGCCCACAAATAAAAAATCTAAATTCATGGTTAGATTCAGCATATCAAAGAACCCCATATATTCAATTTTTGTTGAAATCAAAAAAAGTTTAATTTTGGACCCCAACTTGGACCAACTTGAAAACTGGGCCCATAATCAAAAATCTAAACACATGTTTATATTCAGCATATCAAAGAACCCCAAGAATTCAATTTTTGTTAAAATCAAACTAAGTTTAATTTTGGACCCTTTGGACCTCAATGAAGACCAATTTAAAAAACGGGACCCAAATTAAAAATCTAAAAACACGGTTAGATTTGGCATATCAAAGAACCCCAATAATTCAATTTTTGATGAAATCAAACAAAGTTTAATTTTGGACCCTTTTGACCTCAATATGAACCAATTTGATAGCGGGGCCTACAAATAAAAAATCTAAATACATGGTTAGATTCAGCATATCAAAGAACCTCATATATTCAATTTTTGTTGAAATCAAACAAAGTTTAATTTTGGACCCCAATTTGAACCAACTTGAAAACTGGGCCCATAATCAAAAATCTAAATACATGTTTAGATTCAGCATATCAAAGAACCCCATATATTCAATTTTTGTTGAAATCAAACAAAGTTTAAATACTGGACCCTATCTTGGACCAACTTGAAAACTGGGCCCATAATCAAAAATCTAAACACATGTTTAGATTCAGCAAATCAAAGAACCCCAAGAATTCAATTTTTGTCAAAATCAAACTAAGTTTAATTTTGGACCCTTTGGACCTCAATGTAGACCAATTTAAAAAACAGGACCCAAAATTAAGAACCTAAATACACGGTTAGATTTGGAATATCAAAGAACCCCAATAATTCAATTTTAGATGAAATCAAACAAAGTTTAATTTTGGACCCTTTTGACCTCAATATGAACCAATTAGATAACGGGGTCCACAAATAAAAAATCTAAATACATGGTTAGATTCAGCATATCAAAGAACCCCATATATTCAATTTTTGTTGAAATCAAACAAAGTTTAATTTTGGACCCCAATTTGGACCAACTTGAAAACTGGGCCAAAAATCAAAAATCTAAATACATGTTTAGATTCAGCATATCAAAGAACCTCATATATTCAATTTTTGCTAAAATCAAACAAAGTTTAATTTTGGACCCTTTGGACATTAATGTAGACCAATTTGAAAACTGGACCCAAAATTAAAAATCTAAATACACTGTTAGATTCGGCATAACAAATAAATAAATGTGATCAAAGATTTTACAAATCTAATGCGCCATACTGTGCAATTAAAGATTACTTCTTGAAATTTTTCAATATTTGAAATTTGAAAAAAAAATAATATTTGAAGAATAATTCTTTTTAATTTCTGAAATCTGAAATGAGAAAAAATTGGCCCCCCACAATTTCTTTTTATCCCCCCCCCCCTTTTTCCCCCCCAAAAATTCTTTCCCTCAAGATATGGTCATAATCTCAATTCAAATTTCCAATGGAGTTGGCAACCATAATTACCCATTTAAATTTACCATAGTGCTAACTTAATCTATTTTATAATAGAATTAATAAAAATATAGTGTCAAATCTTTCATATGGATTTTTTTGTAAAAAAAAAAGATGAAAACATTTGCAGATATTTTTACTGGTCTTCCTTTATAAATATGCATTTCTTTAAACATAATTTAAAAGCAGTGTAAGGGAAGTAACCAAAACGTTGTATTTGGATTACCTCCCTTACACTGTTTTAGATTATCTTTATTGTTCATTAACCATTACTTTATACATAATTTAAAAGCAGTGTAAGGGAGATAATTTCAATGATGTATTTGATTTATCTCCCTTACACTGCTTTAAATTATGTTTTGTACTAAAGTATTTGTCCATTAACCAGGACAACCTTGTTTTCCCCCCTTTTTTGCCCCTAATTCCTAAACGGTTTGAGCCATAACCCCCCAAAGCAAATCCTAACCATCCCTTTGTGGTATGGAAACTTGTAGTATAATTTCAGAGAGATCCATACACCGTTCCACAGTTATTGTCTGGAAACTAGAAAATGCTCATTTTTGGCCCCTTTTTGGCCCCTAATTCCTTAACTGTTGGTACCAAAACCCCCAAAATCAATCCCAACCTTCCTTTTGTGGTATTTAACCTTATGGTCAAATTTCAAAAAGATCCATTCACTTAAACTAAAGTTAGAGTGCGAAAACCAATATGTATTCGGACGACGACGCCGGACGACGACGACGACGACGACGCCAACGTCATACCAATATACGACCACAAAATTTTTTTGCGGTCGTATAAAAATTCAGCAATTTTTCCATTTGTAAAGGGGCATAACTCTAGAACGGTTAAAGTGACTTCACCAAAATTCAAACATGATCTGTATTTTGTGGAAATAACCATTGTGTATAAGTTTCATAACATTTGGCTGAGGCATACTAAAGTTAGAAAATGGAAACTTTTTCCATTTGTAAAGGGGCATAACTCTAGATCAGTTAAAGTGATGCCACCAAAATTCAAACTTGATCTGTATTTTGTGGAAATAACCATTGTGTATAAGTTTCATAACATTTGGCTGAGGCAAACTAAAGTTAGAGAATGGAAACAAAAAATTCAGCAATTTTTCACGTTGTAAAGGGGCATAACTCTAGAACAGTTAACGCCACCAAAATTCAAACTTGATCTGTGTTTTGTGGTAATAAGCATTGTGTATAAGTTTCGTAACATATGGTTGAGGCAAACTAAAGTTAGAGAACTGAAACCAACTTTGGGACGTACGGACGTACAGACGGACAAGGGTAAAACTTAATGCCCCATCGCTACCGCGGGGGTATAAAAATGTATGTGTATTTCAAAACAGACTCTTCACTTTAAAACCATGAAACAACAATTTGCACTGGTGAAAAAAAGATCCTCTGGAGAGGATAGTGATTTAAATATAACTCATATACCCCAAGGAAGGCAGTTATTTTCTGATGCACCATTAATTCAACCAGGATCATCCCCAACCTTCAAGGGGTTTTAAAGTTTGAGAGCTGAAACAATTGGTTGAACTTAAGTTTTAATCATTGTATGGTTTTCTTCTTTGAACCCAACATACCTTTCAGCAGTGGTATTCATGACAAGTTTCATTACCAAACTGTTAGGATTTCTAAATTTAGAGAACATAAACATTTTTTTGTACATCTGTTAGAATTTCGAAAATTAGAGAACAGAAACATTTTTTTGTACATATGCCCATGGGTGATTAAGTTGATCCAAGTTTCTGACCATGACTTCCACTGAACTGCTTTTCTTTCTTGTACACGACACACCTTTAGAGTTGTGGTAAATAATCATGCCAAGGATGATTAAATGGCATATGGAGAACACGGATTCATATATATCAATTCCATGCATTTATCAATTAACACATTTTTGTAAAGAATTCAAAAACTAAACAGGATTTGACACTTACTTTTTCACCACAACTGTAACATGACCTAGTAGTTTAAAATTAAGCTGTCCATCAAATACATAAAATGTACTAAACATGACTACTTTGTAATTGGATGTAAAATTTTGTAGTCCTTCCTAAAATAGGCATGTATGTAAGTGGAAAACTACCTGATGTTTGTTTGTGTCAAACCCTGTTGGATCAAACCTGGTATCTACCTCATCTGGGTTATCTGTGTTAAATGAAGAAAACAGACAATCCTGTTTGACCTCTTCCTTTATCATTCGTTCCTTCTTGTTCTTTCTCCTAAAGCCTCCGGCTGCTGTTTTAGCAGCGATACCATGTGATTTATAATCTTGTCCACTAGGTTTATACTCATCGTCAACGTCATCTTCTTCTTTAATTTCATCTTCTTTCTTATACTTCTGAAAACAGTCCAGAAAATAATTCAAACAATGTACCACTTGCATTTTGTTTTGCTTTAGACCAATTTCAAATACCTTTTATTGAACGAGTTATGCCAGTTTACAATCTACCTGAGGTAAACAATCAACTCTTATTGGGTTGTAATAACATAAGCATTGCGACAAAAGAAATGTACTGAAATACATGTATGCATGAATGTGAGTCATCTATTTTTAAAAATATTTAAATTATGAAACCATATATTTTCACTATCATACATACAATCACATATATTAGGTTGATACATTGAACTCCAGTGTGAAAAGTTTAGGATTGAAAATTCAACTTCTGTTTTAGTATTACACAGGGGTTTCATTATCTTTCATGTTGACTGGTACATTTCTATTTGTAGGTGGAACATTTCAATATATTCAATGAACATCTTATATAAAAATTCCTGAATTCAGGCGGTACTTATCAGTAGCATAGGAGAGTAAAAGTACCGGGTACCACCTCCTAATGAATGGCCTGATTACAATAATTTTTGTAATTGTGAATAATTCTCACAAAAATGTTTGTTCAATGAAAATATTCTATACATAATTTAAGGGACATGTACAAAATACATCAACTATTCTAATGCTTTCAGGTCTTCATATTTGACACTTTTAATACAAAAATATTGATTCTTTTTTTCAATTGCATAGAGAATATTTTGCACTAACCTCTGAGTCGAAGATATCTCCTTTCTTAAATACATAAAATGGATATAAAATTTTCTCATAATGTGCTCTTAGGGTTGTTCCAACTTGTTTGGATGGGTAGTGCATCCTTGTGGCTATTCTGGACCATCTTCTTTCTCTGTTGATGTGATCCATTCCTCCTTCCTCTTCAACCAGCTGAAAAAGTGGGAAAATATCAATATACACATCTTTCAGTACATTAATTAATATATGGAAACATGCAATTGTGTCAACATAAATTGAGATGTGGTCCATTGTGGAGAAAACATGTTAATGTAATGCCATGTTTCCAGACAACTTTTTCATTTAAAGTTTGGTGGAAATGACTACAAGAGCTGTTTTATTTCAATGATGGTACAATTAATATTATATTGAATGATAAGAAAGATTATTATTTATAAAAGGTGTGTAAAAAATTATTGCATGGTGGCATGGACCATGCATTGAAATTCATCTGGGTAAATCGTGTTGAATTCAGGACCTTTGTTTTCTTTGCTAATATCTTAGGTGGTTTTTGCACTGAAAGGAATTTGTTGTTGATGCCAAATCTTCAGTTATCTCTCTTAAATTTACCAAAAACTTAATCAGACGCAGGTCAAGCTGCTTCAATCTACAGCTTAACACATGGTTCAGTATATATAATCTATCATTTAAGATAATACATGTATATTGATCTGTTTCTGTGACAGTCTTTAGTGTCTGTGTTGTTGGATTGCTGTCTCATTGACATATACTCTGTAACTCCTTTTTGTACATATTCATTGAAAAGTCACAATATAAAACTATGACAGTCAGACACACTGTGTGACACACATTAAAATATTAGTAGATATCTTATATATTTACTATAATTACTATAGAAAACCAATAAGAATATTAATCCACAGAAAATAATCCAACGTAACATGTGAAATCTACATGGTATTGATCATACATTGTACACTGGCTGTCAGATGTGCATCAGGGAGCCACCCCTTGAAGATATATTTTTATAAGTAATTCATGGATATTATTATATAATATTAGTTGCAAAATAAGTTGATAGAAATAAAATTCAGAAATAGGAATAAAAGGCAATGTAGGATATAGGTTAAAGAGACAACCATCCTACTGTTCCTACAACACAACAAAAATAGAAAAGACATCAGGCCAGTTGGCAAAATTGTCTTGTATAAATTCAAAACTATTTTTGTAAAATTAATTCTGGCTTATAATTTATTTATCATGGTCATAAATTTTTAAACAGGAAATGTTTTAAATAATGAACAATGAAGTTAAAAGTTAGGGCACAAATAAATTTATATTGCATCATGTGCATATTTCATTTTATTTTGCATTGTTTGCATGAAATAAAACCTTTATCATTGACTTGCAAAGATAATACCCCTACAATGTATATACATGTATGTCATTATAAATTAAAATCATATTCCTCGTCAGCATTAACTAAGTCAGACCCCCACCCCTTCATTTCTTACTATTTAGCGCAACAAGATGAACTCTAACCTGTATAAATTCCGAAACAACTGAATTGTTATTTCTTTACCAAGGTCTAACAGCCCTTCCAACATATTTCCACATTTATATTGTTGGGAGGAATTGACACTTTATTGATAGAAATGTAAAAATTACCGTCAGCCATTTTGACCCACCTGACATGCCTGGTGTGTTCATGGAAAATTGATAAAAATGTCAGACAATATTACAGATTCCTGTTATTTGACCACACCCCCTAATTTTGGCCTTTAAAATACATATATTCATCAACATGAAAGTCTTTTCCCTTAACTATACAGCCATAAACGAGGTCTTTTGTTATCATTTTTGGCCATATACAGGGGCGGTCAAGGGCATTTTTATCCATCATTGTAAAAAAAAGAAGAATTTGACGATCTCATGAAATAACAAGAATGTGTCCATAGTACAAGGATGACCCACTCGCACTATCATTTTCTATGTTCAGTGGACCGTGAAATTGGGGTCAAAACTCTAAATTGGCCTTCAAATTAGAAAGATCATATCAAAGGGAACATGTGTACTAAGTTTCAAGTTGGTTGGACTTCAACTTCATCAAAAACTTCCTTGACCAAAAACTTTAACCTGAAGCGGGACAGACGAATGGACGAACAGATGCACAGACCAAAAAACATAATGCCCCTAGGTGGGGCATAAAAAATTATATTTTCTCCTGTTATAAAATGTGATTAGTAAAAATATCATACATGTAATGTTTACTTTTCAGTAAATCTACAGACCAAAATAACCCCCAAAATGTTTGACTTTCTCTTTTGCGGAAGAGAACTGAAGTGATCCCACAGGGAAATGGCAATTATACAGTATTTTTCATTATTTACTGTGCAAGACAGTACAAATAAGGGTGTTTGAAAAGGGGTGGGTGTAAAAATATACACTGGTTATAAACAGCAGTTATGTCAAACAACCCTGCATATTAAGAAAATGTATATGGAAGTAATCAAAGACTCAATTTCAATAAATCTTAATTTTTTTATGTTTATAAGTTAAAGAGAGAGCATGGAAAAAGCCTTAAGATATATCTATTATCCAAATTTGTTGTTAATAGGATTGGTCCAAAGGGAAGTCTGACATTGGTACAAGCACTATTTTTTTGCAAAATAATATAATTTCAGTTTTACAAAAACCTAAATCTTGTGACCTTTCCAATGTTAAACATGTTTCATGACACGAGGGAAATAGTGCAGTCAAAAGCCTTATTAATATAAGTTATTTTGTACATTTGATCCCTCCATTCATGAAAACATCTACATCAATGAAAACATTAATGTTTATTATGAAGGAACAAGAAGAAAACAGATAAAAAGTATGTCTTACCTTATATAATGTATATAAATCCACAAGTTTCCTATCCACATGAGGTATTTTTAAAGAACAACCCTGCAATAAAAAAAAAATCTTCTATGATCAATATTAGCATATATTAAAATCAGTCCCATGTTTAACATATATTTATAAAACAATGCAATGTCTGTCAAAAAAGGAATCAAGAAAATTCTTAGACTGAAAAAAAACAAATAAATATGTTAATACATCAATTTAAAACATGTTGGAAGCTTTTCTGTTAAAAAAAAGGGGGAGAAACTTCTTTCACATTTCAAAATATTGATGAAAAAATCAAACAAAATCAACATTCAAATTCATAGAATTAGATAATTTTAAGAATCATTCTTACCTGAAGCTCCCAGAACTTTGCAAGCTGGTCCAAAAAGTTCAGCTTCATTCTTGAAGTGGCCTGAAAAGTATATTATAGAAGAATCAATAACAGCATATATACATGGGTAAAATGCATGTACACAATGTAAATTAAAAATATCAAATGACTTTGAATTTATTCAATTATATTTTCCTTAACAAAGGACATAAACAAAAACTAAGCAACAAGAAGTATAAGTATATAAAATGTAGCCCATTTTGAGCCCCAATATACTTACATCAAGTTCATTCAATCTTTGTATTCTAGGAGTGAATGTGAATTTCTCGACATCAACAGCAAAAGGTGGTTGCCAGTCCTAAATGAAGAAAAAGATGCAAATAAGAATACATCTATTTGATATATGTGAAATATTTCATTTTTTTGCATACAAGTTGATAATGGCTACCTTTAGTCTCTTGCTTGGCAGCCATATTGGTTGAAATATTTTATGTAGTTCCTTCTTCATAGGGATTTATAAAGTATATCATATGTTGCAGTTTTGATCATTTTAATATTTAAGTGATGATTTTATATAAAAAAGCAATCAATCGAACACGTTTTTTATATTAAAAAAAAATGATCAAGAAAAACTGTAAGATCTTGGTTGACCTGCAACTTTGTCATGTTTGTACAGAAAAATATTTGGTCAGTAAAAGTGAAGAGCTAAGAACTGACTGTAATCATATTTTTTTTATGAATTTATGCTCTTGAAATGATCTTTACGGTAAAATTTGTAGTAATAGATTAGATTAAAATAAACAAGTCAGCAGTCTAAGGATATGAACAATCTTTAAAATGCATCCAGGCTTTACTTTTTCATTTTCCCTTGTTTGTTAATTTTTATATGCAGGGAAAAAATGATGCCAAAACTTAATTAATAATATTTTATAATCATTTTACTTGTAAAATTCGACTTCAATTCGCTAAAAATCTGTATTACTTAATACAATAATTTAAATGATTAAACTTTGAATAAAATTGTATTGTTAAAAACAAAGTACTGCTTCATTAATCTTTGCTTCATTTAGTCATAGATATGGGAAAAAAAATCTAAAATGAATTATAATTTAAAAAGCAGACAATTTTTGCTAATTATGTATTATTTAATCAAATGTTCCTAATTTTTCATACAAACTTTCTTTGAAATGAGGATTGAAATGTTTAATTCAATTAACATGATAACAAGACATTGCTTCATCAAATTACAAGATATCATTACATACTTTGCATCATTTAAGGCCTACAGTAGGAAACAGAAACAAGAGGCCCAGCTTTTCTCTTTGTTTCATAACTTTATTTTGAGAAACTTTTAACATGCTTAGAAAACATTTTGTTAACACACACTACATAAATTGTATTTTTAAAAGATAAACTATTCATTTTATTTAATATATAACTATATAGTTAAGTTATTATATAGCTGGTGCTAATGTATGACAGATCTGAACAAAAGGCGTCGCCATGTTTGGGAAAATAACTTGCACGTATGATCACGTATTACCATGCAAATTTCATCCAACACTTTCAGGGAAAATATACACTATGGCAATTTAAAATTATTGAATAATTGTGGAAAGGAAAAGATATTATAAAGTAATAACAGACCGGTGGTGGTTTAATTTTGCATAATCCAATTTTTTCTGCAATCGGTCTTATTTTGGCGATGTATCCCAACGGATCGGCAAACTCCTCCTCAGTTGGCGTAAACACCGGTGCCTCTGGAGGACGCCTGAAGCTTTGACAAGAATTGTCAACCATGCTGCAAGCCAACGGCAGACACTTTCAATTCATAAACGACCCAGAGGGTCTAATATAACGCGACCAAAATATAGTAGTAGAATCCCTAAAACACAAAATCCAGTATGTGTGGAGAGGTGCCGAAGAACACCCTTATTCTAAATTTGGGAAGTAAAAAGTAGTTCTAATTAAAGTATCTTTAAATGTATAAAAATAAATTAATGTTTTTCGACAACCAAAATTTGCATATGAAATTAGAATTTTTGAGCGACTGGCACAAATTGAACATGTGCAAGGTTTTTTGCTAGAAATGTGTATTTCCAATGTTTTCACACTTGTCAGTGCGTATGAATTTAATCAAACAAATTTCTGATTGGTCATAGTAGTTTCCGACAGGTTCGAAGAGATGAAATTTACATATAAAAATAAAAAAAATAAAAATATAGTTTATTCATATTGACACAGACTACAACAACTAACCAATAGATGCATCTGGTATTATGTTTAAGTTTATGATTAAAAACTTTAAATTATTTTTCTGCGAACTAGCAAGCATTTTTTCAGATAATATAAAGTGTATATTCCATTTTTATAGGGCAACATAAAGACAACTTTTTCTTGTTTCTAAATTTCGGTGTTTTCATAGCGTTCGAATCTGATTTTTTTTGTCATTTTCGCCCACTTCCCACCCCCCCCCCCCCTCCGATCCCACTTGTTTACCCCTAGACCAATCACCCCAAAAGCGTGTCGCCCCCTCAAATGTATAAAGTGTTATTTTTATTGAACCAAAGTAAGAGATTTTCAGAATTTAAAAGTAGTGGAAGCAGTGTTTATTGATGTCTTAGGGCTGGACATCATGGATGAGCCGATGAAAGAATGTTTAAGTGGCAGAATGGAGTTTGTTGTCTCCCTTGAACAAGCTCATTATTGCACTTTTATTACTTTGATTATTTCATGTTAAATCATTACAAAATAAGTTAGATTTAAAAGTTTAGTATTTTTAATCGGTTTATAAAAGACCTTTATATATGTTCAGAAACTGTTCATGTTTTGGAAACGTTTTTTAGATATTGTCTCTAAAAATCTTGATATTTTTATACAAAGTATTTAGCAAGTTACTTGCCAGTGGACTGACTACTTGTCCAGTTTAGTTCAAACATATTTTGTTTGCTTAAATATGCAAATGGGGTGAGACACAAGTTATTCAAACTTATAAAGTCTTCTCCCAGACCAATTTAGATGATAGCTGAGCTAATCCAAATTTAACTTTAATATTGCATCTGCTACATACCTATTGTACCATATGTTGTAAATTGCTCCGTTTCTATCAGTCACTGCATTGAAAGTCAATATCATAAAAGCTCCTAATTGGTAATAAACTATATATTGTTTATACTGTTTTCATTTCATATACTTTATATAATTTAGCGTCATTACACTTTGCATCCATCGTCAGTCATAGCTTGTATATATAAACTGTTCACGGTCCGCAACCCCGAGTCTCCAGGAGCGTGTTTTTTTGTTCTTCGGTAGTGAGCCAGAAGAGGTCCACTTCTGTTTTTTTGAATAGGGAAGATCTTCTGGTTCTCTTCCACCTCTTCTTTTTTGATAGGTAGTTTAGACGGCAGAGGCACATAACAAACATGGCGTCGTTTAGTCTAAATGACATTAATAAATTTATGAAAGCAGATATATTAGAATGTGAGCTGTGTTATAAACGTTTTTATGGTATGTCAGTCTTAGTAGGACATCCCTGTAGGACGATAAGCTGGATAAATATAAGAACTACACGGACAATAACAGTTCAGGGACGACTATTTGATATTCTAGGGAAGGGATTTTGATTGATTGGTGTTAAACGCTACTTTCAACACTAAGTTGGGCTATTCCGTGGTGGTCAGTTTAAATTTATAAATGAAAAAGGGGAAGGGAAGAGGGCATTATTAACTTTTTTAATCTGTCGCTAATTATGCCTATTTTTCAGCTCTTACCAGGCAACCATATTCATATATGAAATCCTCCTGTCCCCCACCCCAATAAATGAATAAATATCAAATGTTTTTTCTTCTTATTTAACACAAGTTTAAATTGATTGATTGCTTGTTGCTAATTTTTAACGCCCAGTGACAAATACGTCATGCCTGTTCAGGACTCGGTTCAGGAAAACACGATTTTAAAAGTCGGGTATATAATATAAAAACGAAGAGATGTATGATTGCTAATGAGGCAACTATCCACCGGAGTTCAAATATGAAGTGGATGTAAGAAATTATAGGCAACCGTAATTAAGGCCTTCAACAATGACAAAACCCGATACTGTATTTAAAAGTCTTCTATAAAAGGCCCGACGTGAAAAGTGTGAGAAACAATTCAAACGAAAAAACTAACGGCCTAATTATACATAACAAAATAATTTACAAAATATCAAATATGAGTCGAGGCATGAACCAACGACAACCACTAAACTATAGGATCCTGACTTGGGATAGGCACACAAAGAATATGGCAGGGTTGATATAAAAACAAAGATTGCCAATGAGACAAGAGACCAAATGACACAGCAATTAACAGCTATAGGTCACCGTACGGCCTTCAACAATAAGCAAAGCCCATACCGCATAGTCAGATATAAAAGGCCCCGCAATCACAAATGTAAAACAATTCAAACGAGAAAACTAACGGTCTGATTAATGTACAAAAAATGAACGAAAAACAAATATGTAACACAACAACAAACGACAACCATTAAATTACAGGCTCCTGACTTGGGACAGGCACGTAAATACAGAATGTGGCGGGGTTAAACATGTTAGCGAGATCCGACCCAACCCGCCCCCTAACCTGGGACAGTGGTGTAACAGTACAAGAACATGTTTGTGAGCGCTCAACCCTTCCCGAAGCTGGGACAGTGGTGTAACAGTACAATATAAGAACAACCTGCACAAATCAACTGCAATTAGATTAACTCAAAAGATCGGTACGAGACACCAAAAAAAAAACTTACATTAAGACAATAGACACAAAGCACCGAAATAAGAGTATTTGCAATTACTGGAAGTTTGTTCAAAGCTAATAACAACTTACATTGAAATAAATCTTGTTCTCCCAGACTGAAGTATCAATCAGTACACAACCAACGGATTTATTAAAAATAAAAAAGAAAAAAAAACAGTCTGAGAAATGTCTGGTATACATTGTATACTTGCATATTGATACATATAAAATGAAAATTTTTGAAAAGTGGTGGTCCGAAGGTTTTGACCATCGAAATTTTGCAATAGAAATAATAGTTAGGACCAGAAGATTTTCTTCAAGGACCACCAGAGAAAAATGATTTCGAGAACTTTCCGATATCTTTGCTTTATACAAAAATAATCCAGTTTGGTTACTTTAAAAAAATTGGATAGACAAGATGTCCTTTTTGATCATATTCGAGACAAACATTGACGATTTTTTGTGCAGTTTAAGATTATTCTTAAAAATCAAATAGTGGGGGTTTAAGCCAGATTTGTCTAGCGAAATTGAGTTAGGGGAAAGAACAAAGAAAAATGTCACGAACAGAGCACACTTTTACAGTCATGTCTACCGGACGTATTTTAATTTTCTATAAAATCATCGTAAACTTCATTTATGTCATCCAACATAACAAAAATCTGCTATATTCGACGGCAAATTGAATTTTTGTTTTATTGATCTTCCGTAGAATATCTCCAGAAGAGTTCCAGATTCATTTTTTTGGACTCTTCACCAGAAGACATTCTGGAGATGTGCAGAAGAGACCAATAAAACACGCCCCAGCAGACGTGATCCTGTTGCAGTTAACACTGTGACCAACACGAAATCAGATGAAAACAAAAATAATGGTCAACAAAACCTAAAATAAAAAAATCGTGCATTTAGCACAACGATCCTTTATGGATAATAGGTTTGATTTACGCTTGCCATTTTTTAATTTACCCGTTAATTTACCGCCTTTAATTTTATCCTTTCCTTCTGTCATTGCTTTTGATTTTGCCATTTGATAAGGGACTTTCTGGTTTGAATTTTCCTTGGAGTTCGGTATTTTTGTTATTTTACTTTTTACAATGCATGTTAGAAAAAATTTGATACCTTATTTCTTTAAATCAAATCTTAACACAAATGCTATACTTCGGCTGTTGTGATAGTTTGAGTGAGTATTTACGGTGCCATCTTGGAGCGCCACATGAAAAATCGGGCAAGATTTTTATTGGAATTAGCAAAATGTTGACCAAAAAATTTATGTGATTTGTGGGACTTTTAAATTAAAAAAGAAAAAAAGAAAACAAAAGAAAACAATCAAACAAATGCTTTTTTTTACTATAAACTTTTTTGACGAAGGATACACTTTTTTTTGTAATTTTGAAATATCAAAACTTTGCTTTATAAAGAAAGGTAACTCAGATAATTTACATTTATAAAAAAATGGATTATATAGTATTCCCAGTTTTTACTCATTCATAAACGTTTTATATATTTGCTACTGCATGTATATCTATCTATGAATTTTCGTTGTAGGTCTCAAACTGTAGTAGTAGTATATAAAAACAGAATTGAGAGCACATTATTACATTGCTGATTTTATGGGACAAACTATTTGTGTCAATATTATAGTCTTTCTGAATTGTTTGTTTTGTTTATTTCGAACGGGGTTGTTCACTTTAAAGTCCTGTAGTTTAGATATTGCATTATGTGCGATTTTGGTTTTGGTTTCGGTTTCGGTGAGGTAGTGTACTAGAAGTTGATTAATCGCAGGAAAAGTAATCATAAGGGAACGAAAACCAGTCCAGTTTCCCGTGTAAAACAAAAATATCTAAATCTAAGACAGGACAGTTATTTCTATTTATATTAAATATATTTAAGTAAATATAAAAAAAAGAAGACGTGGTATGATTGCCAATGAGACAACTCTCCACAAGAGACCAAATGACACAGAAATTAACAACTATAGGTCACCGTACGGCCTTTAACAATGAGCAAAGCCCATACCGCACAATTAGCTATAAAAGGCCCCGAAATGATACTGTAAAACAATTTAAACGAGAAACTACCGGCCTAATTTATGTATAAAAAATGAATGAAAAACAAATATGTAACACATAAACAAACGACAACCACTGAATTACAGGCTTCTGACTTGGGACAGGCACATACATACAGATTGTGACGGGGTTTAACATGTTAGCGGGATCCCAACCCTCCCCCTAAGTTCCCTTGGGTAAAATATAGACATAATAGTCACCTATGGCTATTATATCTATATATAGGTAAATTTAGACATAATATTGAAAGAATTATTGATATTAATAACGGCAAAACTTGAATATTATCAAGTTAACCAGGTAACAATAGGTGTTGTTGAATTTATCAATGAAATGGAATCTAGACGGATCCGGCTTTATTGTGGATGGACATAAACTGTGATACATAACAAGCATAGTATATACATGCATATATAAAAAGCTTGTAAATATACATATAAAGTAATGCAGCCGAGTTCATATAAGAGTTCAAATTGAAAATATTGCAGAATTATGCTAATACTTGAAAACCTGTGCATTTGAGTTAAAGTATGTTTAAATGTTTGTCTAAATAGGAAAATTGCAGCAATGTGCTAATGGTGTTCAGAAGTTTTAAAACTTGCAGAATTATGAATACCTTGCATCTATTTGGGCATGCCCAGTTCTAATTATCTGTTCCCATTTTCACCTACCGATAATAGTAGTTATGCAAGTAACGTAGCAAACACTCATGAATTATTGTAGTCATTGAAGCATGAAAATGAGATTAAGGACAAAATACTTATACTGGAATACTATAGTACTTCAACCCATAAGTCTATAGTTTTTGTCAAGGTGTCGCCCCTATTACTTTCGGTTGTTTTTTTGCTCTATATCATTGTATATATATGCCCATTCCTTATAATTATACCAAATGGTCAGTGGCATAGGGTTTGCCCCCTCCAGAAAAGTGGGAGGAGGGAAACTTTTAAAAGTGACAAGCAAAACAAAAAACATCCTTCTGTAGTCTAGCGATTAGTAGCAAGTGTCTTCTATCATTTTCTTTTTGTTTTTTTTAATTTTCTATCCGGATTTGTTATGTTTAAAAGTGCAGGAGGGGGCTTGCCTATTTGTACTTTTCCGTGTATAATCTCTTAAAATATGTTCATTTTGCAGAAAGTATACACTGTGAAGTTATAGAATACAAGCTTTGTGACCTTTTATTGACAGTTCCTGTATTAAATATAAAAATAAATCATATTTTAATATGCCTGCCTCTATTGCATTCCTTTTTTATTAACTCAACTTATAGATTATCACCTATGAGCTGTCAACATGATGTCCGTCGTCCGTCGTCCGTCGTCCGTTAACTTTTACGAAAATCTTCTCCTCCGAAATTACACCGGCCCAAATTTGCATTAATATGATAGTTTTGGATATATGTAACGAGCGTAGTAGTAGCCATAAATTCACACCAGGCTGATAACCCATATCAGCCCTATGTGACGTCACGTGGTCTTGATTATATGGAGCTATCAGCCTGGGTACGTTCGCACATCGGTAGTATATGATAAAAAGTTTAATACATGTCCTTTTCCAAATCGGCCAGGGTATCATCCTTCGACCCACCTAAGACATCGACTTACGTCTTGTGCTGACATTTGGGTCTCTGGTTGATACCCAAGCCTATAAGAAAAAGGCCATGTAGTAAGGGAGCTACCATTTGATTTTTATGGGGGGGGGGGGGGGGAGGGGGGCTAGGATGAAACATTTTGTCCTGCATTTTTTTTAGTTATAATCTCTGTCCTGCCTTTTTATTTTTTTCTCAATTCGGTCCTGCCTTTTTTTTTAATAGTTTATCCTGACTTTTTTTACATACATTGTCATCCTGACTTTTTTTTGCCAAGTTGCTCATCCTGCCTTTTTTTTACTCAAATGGTAGCTCCCTAATCTGTATATAAATCAAGTATGATCATTTGTAGGTTGGTTCTCCCGTAGAATATTCGGTATGCTTTCGGAATATACAAATATTAACGACGGTATTGTCAAACTTGTCAAATAAAGCCCGGGTACCAGTCTAGATCATTTGGGTCAAATCTATGAACGTGAATTTGACAGAAAATGCCCCTTAATGGGACATCATGTAGATTATTTCAATATCACGAACATGTCAACAATAATTGAGCCTAATGATTTATTATATAATCTTCAAAACTATTCATGCAATATTCATTATTATGTAAAAATTCACTTTTATTGATTATTTTCTGAAAGATCTCAAAGTTGCCTATATCATGATAAAATGATCACTTTACGCGACTGTCATAATTTCGAAAAATGGCGTCTGCTGCCAAAAGGTTCAAACCCGAGTTTTTCATTTTACTTGCATTTCCATTCAAAAGAGCATTAAATGCAAAATGTGAAACGATTGGGATAATTATAGTAATTCATGGGAATGATAAAATCTCCGAAAGAACACTATTTACACATAGAGATATCTAAAAGTCGCATTGTTTACATTGGTTACTTGTTGCAACATGTTAAAGAACAGTATCCACATCAAGTCATACATAAACATGCTGTCTTTGGATGCTATTTTGAATATTTCTACAATTTAAAATTTATGTGATGATGCTCCTATCAGCTTAAAATTTATTATATTTTCTAATTTTATACAATATAGGTTTGGTAACTAACTGTAAATTCAGAAATTATTGCGTGCACTTTAATATTTAGTTATTATTGCGATTTTTAAAGAATTGACAAGAATGTGAAATTGATTATTGCGATTTCAGGAATATCTGCATTCAGATATCAGAATGCAAGTTCTTATCATCTTATTATTGCGATTCTCACCCTTTCACATTATTCGCAATAATAAAAACTTTGCAATAATTTCTGAATTTACAGTAACATCATACGATTCATAGGCTTAACCCAAGGGTGACTTGGGAACAGAAAAAGTTCATAACTAGGTCTTCTCTCGGCTGGCAAAAAAACCCTTGCCCAAGTGGGGCATAAGTTCGGCTGTGCTGGATGTACAAGTACGCGTCCACTTATAAAGGGAGTGCCAGGCTCATTGCAAGTCAAGAACCCTTTCATCTACACTGAGGGGACTCTGGGTGGCCTGTTGCAAGGCAAAATTATTGTCACCAATATACCCTAGCTATTTTCTACTGTCTAAATTCTCCAACCGTCATCCTGGACAGCCTCTATTACATAAGATAAGATAAGATATTTTATTCCAATTAAAGGGCCCATGAAGAGCAAAGTAATTTATTACAATGATTTAGATAATTGACGCAATAATCAAATGTTGATAATCATATATAAATATGAATAAAATCATCTCAATTCTAAGATGTTAAACCACAGCCAGATTACATGACCTACCTATTGCATGTTTGGTTAATTTCTCCTCATTCTAAACATGCATGAAATATTTGCCACTGAATGCTAAGCAACCAACAATCAATCAAACATTATAACATTATAGACCTAATCTCTATGAGGGGAATCTGCTACACTTGACCCAAATATTTGCGACACTATAGACATCATACACCAATGGGCAGCAAATAGCAATAAGGTGTATAAGTTCCTTATTTTTGTAATTTTGAAGGTATCCATACCCTCAAGATGAAAATATAGTTCATTCCGTTAAATGAAATCATTTGCCAGCATAGTTTTAAATCCATACCCTCAAGACGGGGAAATATTGTCCGTCTGTTAAGTCATTTCATAAACATAATGTTAAATCAATGGACTTACTAATACTAGACAAGTGAAATCATCTGCCTGCATGTTAAAGTATCCACCAATTACCATAAATTGGCCACATAAGACATTTTTACAATAATTGTGCTTTACCATGAATAGCAGATTATTTTTTAAGACATCAAATATTAATAACTGCTGACTCTAAATTTACTTCCCAATGAACTAAGGACACATTGTGCATTTCATTCATTTGCGTTTTTCAATGGCGTCAGATCCAACTTGCAAAGTAACCTGAAATTAGTCAACCCAAATAATGACCATGTGGTTCACTGGCAGGCTAAGAGAATTATTTTTTTTTTTGTATCACGTTAAAGTTTGAAATGTATCGACACTCATATTCAAATAAAAATGACACAGCATGAACATAGACAATACTACATATGAACATTCAAAAGCAGATTTACAAATAGTATTGAGTTTATATAGACTGGTTTCTTTTTTTTTTTATTCATTATGTTATATTCTCAATTTATATATATGTATTAATTGTATAGGTTTGTAAAAGTCAATCATGTCATGGAAGCTGTAAAGTTTAATTGGCAACAGTTATTCCTTTTCATAAAATGATGCATTGATTCTTCATCTAGTGTCATGCTTAATACATGTGTTATAAAGTTTATAGTAAAACTAGTGTCTTTACAAATTGAATAGATCTAACTTGTAATTAGTCTTTTTCAAATTCAGAAAAAAATTATAGATCTAAAGTCAAATGTTTTATTTTCAGTAAAGGAAGAAAATCACCCATACCAAAGAAGACAAATATCTCACAGCTTGACCAATCACAAGATGAGGGCCAACCTAGAAAACTGGGAGAAAAAGGAAGTCCTGACCTTCCATCCATCAATGAACGTCTAGGTAAAAAATCTGTAGAGCTATCATTTTAATTGTGAATAAAATATGCAGACATGGTTATCATCATTGAAGCAGCGACCTATTTTGAAAGGTGTTACAAAAAATATAAATAGATTATTTCTGCTGTTTATCATGCATCAGACAGGAGACAACAGAGATTTTGAATATGGTGAAACCTGTCAACATTTGTCACAGACCTATAAGGATACTGTAAACACCGATATTTTACATGGTGACAGATGTTTGTGTTTACATTGTTGTATTTAAGTCTGTAAAATGATTATGGTGTGACAAGAAAATGACCCAGTGTCCTGACAAAGCTTATATCATACTATCTCAATGAAAGTATCATACTTATCTTTGTAGGAATCCAATTTTCCTCAAATTGCCAGCTTTGAAAATGATTGAACTCTTTTATTTTCATCTCATACATTGTGAAATTCCTAGATAGTGTGTCAAACATTTGGTCAGACAACCTCTAAGAACAGCTGGTCAGTAAGATAATCTGCCAGAATTCAGGAGACATATAAATGCAATAGGTCAACTTTTGGGTGAATGGAATGATTGTTAGTTGTACATGTCTGTCTGGCAGGGTGCATCTGACCTTGACTTCATTTTAATGTTTCGTTAAACAGCATTAAGATTTCATGATTATGTCTGTTTCTAAATGCAAAATTGTTCTTTTTCTCCTTCAAAAGCTTTTTTTTTTATAAAAATATTTCCATTTCATTCCTTTCACAATCAGTTATATTCATATATTTGTATTTCTTCCAGGCCATTTAAGACCTTCTAGAGAGCTTTTAGAATATTACAGAAAGAAAATAGCTGAATATGATGAAGAGCATGACCACATGGTCAGCAAATTAGAGGAATATAAAATAACTTATGAAGAACAGGTTTGTACAGTGCTGAATATAAAATAACTTATGAAGAACAGGTTTATACAGTACTAAAGGAATGTAGAATAACTTATAAAGAACAGGTTTGTATAGTGCTGATATAAAATAACTTATGAAGAACAGGTTTGCACAGTACTGAATATTAAATAACTTATGAAGAACAGGTTTGTATAGTGCTGATATAAAATAACTTATGAAGAACAGGTTTGTACAGTACTGAATATTAAATAACTTATGAAGAACAGGTTTGTATAGTGCTGATATAAAATAACTTATGAAGAACAGGTTTGTACAGTACTGAATATTAAATAACTTATGAAGAACAGGTTTGTACAGTGCTGAATATAAGATATTGTTATTTAGCTCACCTTGCTTAAGAGCCAAGTGAGCTTTTCTCATCACTTGGTGTCCGTCGTCGTCATCCGTTAACTTTTACAAAAATCTTTTCCTCTGAAATTATTGGACCAAATTTAAGCAAACTTGGCCACCATCATCATTGGGATATCTAGTTTAAAAAATGTGTCTGATGACCAAGCATGCAAACCAAGATGGCTGACATGGCTAAAAATAGAACATAAAAATTGAAAAATTGATCAGTAAGACAAGATCTTCATAATTGAAATTGTCAGTCTACTCCTTATTAGAGTTATTGCCCTTTGTTGACGATTTTTACTATTTTTTTTTGTGTTTTTGTCTTATATCTTAAAAACTATAATAGATAGATAGAAAACTTAAATAAGCAAAAATGATCAGCAAGACAAGATCTACAATAAAAATTGATATAGAGGAAATTGTCTGACGACTCCTTATTGGAGTTATTGCCCTTTATTGGCCAGTTTTGCATTTTGCCTTTTACGATAAAAATGATAATAGATAAAAAAGAAACTTTAAATAACAAAAATTATCAGCAAGGCACGATCTACAAACAAGTTAAATTTTGCCGATATAGTTAGTAGACTCTCTCTTTATAGGAGAGATTGACCTTAAATGAGGATTTTTTTTATACCCTCTTTGGTGTTTTGAGCAAAAACTAAAATAGGTAGAGAAACTAAACAGACAAAAAGATCAGATATACAAGAACAACAAATAAGAAATTTTTTGACGAATTCTATTCTCGCCTATAGTGTTTGGAGGGTGTCCTTTGTTGAAGATGGACATAGAACTAGGTGAGATACACAGGCTCTTTAGAGCCTTTAGTTTTGCATTTGCCACAACACAATTTAACTACATGTACTGCATTTTTGTTTTCTCTAATTTTAGCATAAACTACAATGGGAATTAAGACAGAGAGAGGAGGAGATTGTAGAATTACAAAAGGCTCTTAGTGATATGCAGATTTATTTATTCCAAGAAAGAGAACATGTATTGAGACTATATTCAGAAAATGACAGATTAAAGGTATGTGCTTTAATTTGATGTGTTAGACCACCTCATAAGTCTACTGGAAACATGCTCATATGAAGAGTGCAAGGTTTTGGGTTCTATCCCCGACTGGGTCTAGGCAAGGACGTTTATACTTGTATTTCCTCTCTACTTAACATATGGCAAGCCAAACTAATTGGATTGGTGTGAGACTAAGGCATTGCGAGGGGAAGACATGAATTTGTTACCAGCAAGCTAACACATTAAAAACTGATTCTTCAAAGTCATCTTCATACATGATCAGCTATGCTGAATATGTTTGAAGTACTAGCTGCTATACATTACATATCTATAATTTATGCCAGAATTAATTGAAATGGAGGGGGGATAAGGAGAGGCATTTATTAAATATTAATAACATAGGGGTAGATGGAATCGAAACGACTTTTCACACAATAATGCAATTAACTTTCTAATTAAAATTGTATTAGTTGGGGGGTATTGTGAAAAAACTACCTTCCAACACTCCATACATTTATTTTGAAAAAAGTCATAATAAAATGATATTGAAATGCAGATTTATTATTCCTACATTTACTTCTGGCTGTTTGTCTTTCTTCATTTTGTTCTCTTAAAACACATATCAGTAAAATTTTGTTTCAAATATTATTTTATCACCATGATAGCAAGGGAATATTTTCTTCCATCACAGTCATTCATCTGTCCTGAGTAACCTTCTAAATATAATGTTTTAACATTTCTTTATGTCAAGTGATAACTATATAAGTCTATATACATAAATACATTTAAAAGATGTGACATGCAAAACTGATTATATGATCTCAATATCATGGCTCAGTAATCACAAGTCAGCTTTTTTAAGAAGTGAAATTAATGTAATACATTTGTATTAACACAAAACATCCATGAATATAAAAATAAGGAGATGTGGTATGATTGCCAAAGTTCAAATGAAGTGGATGTAAGCAATTATAGGCAACCATACGGCCTTCAACAATGAGACAAACCCATACCGTATGTAATACATGAGATGTGGAGTATATGTCAATGAGATAGCAAGCTATCAACACAACAGAATCATTTGCTCAGCTGGGCACAGTGTCCATTGGTCATAACTGTTGTTGTTTTGTATTGCCCCCTTAAGATTACAACAGTTTGAAGAATATTGTATTAAGAAAAAAATACTTAATCTTATAAAAACCTAGTAAAGTGAGAACAAATACATGTAGTTTTGTAATATTTGTTTGTTATTGTAGATCAGAGAGTTAGAAGACAAAAAGAAAATACAACAGTTACTTAGTTTAAGTGGAACAACAGAAAGTGAAATCACCTATTTTATGAAGGAACCACCAGCTAAGGCTATTGTAGAACAGAAAAAGAGACCTAAAACAGCTCCTAATAATAACCTCAGAAATGGTATTACTCTATTATTAATATTTTCATTAAGAGTTTGCACAGGATTTTCAAACTTAATTTACACACTCTTTAAAGGCTAGTGCTTTCTAAAGTTTGCATTACAAGTACAAAACTTGTTTTCCAGATAGATACAATACTAGGGCTAGAAAAGGCATGTATATTTAATTTGTCAGTCATACATATACCGATATCTTCTTATTTGGAGTATGCATATATATTGGTTGTGGTAAATTCTTATGTCTAATAATGAATCTTAAATTCTTTTCCTTGTATTTAATGGTCTGTGAATAACAAAAATTCTTCCTCTACTGTCCTTCCATGGTAAACATGAAACTCCAGCTTTGCTCATTAGAATTTCCCATTCTCTGGTGGTTGTATGGTATCTTTTTAATTACCTTTAAATTAAACAATTTTTTTGATAAAATGAATATAGATTCATATCGTTCAGTATTAAGTAGTAACTAATTGTTATATATGTGGGTGTTTTAAATTCAAGACTTTACCTTGTAAAATTGTCAAACTTTTAAAATATTCATTAACCCTCACATTCTGAATTTGAAAAAAAATACCTCTTATCATTGAAAATAATGCTGTGTGTATATTACTTTGTTTTATTTTGATTTTTGGACAAACAATGACAAAAATAATCTTTTCAACAGGCATGAAGAAAAAACAGCTTCCAGTATCAGATAGACGTCAGTCCATGTCACCTAATCCAGAAGAAAAGTACAGACATGACAATGAAGTGTTAGTATTACAGGTAGAAGCTCTGCAGGCACAGCTTCAGGAACAGACAAAAGTAGCCAAGGAACAAGTAGAGGCTTTAATGGAAGACAGAAGGGTGAAAGAAGAGGAGCTGGAAACTCGTAGACAGAGAGATGAAGCTAAAATACACACACTTACTGAAAAGTAGGTATCCTTACCTTAAACAGTTTGATTTATTGTATGGTTTGGAATATGCATCTGATTGTCAGCAATTTGCATGTTTTATTCATATTTTAATGATTATATTTGCACATAGAAATAACTAGGAAAATCAAACTATCCAATAAATGAAAGAAGTTTGTCAATATGTCTGGCTTAAATCGTATTATGTTAATAATCAGGCTTAAATCATATTACTGCTCATTTCTGACTGACCAATGTGTTTTGAAAGTTGAAGGGTGTTCTTTTGAAAGCAATTCCTGATTTTTGAATTCAAAGGGTCAACAAGCAGCCTTTTCATACCTTTATTATTTGACAGACTGATTTAATATAAATACATGAGTTATCTCCCTTAAACTAATTGCAACCAATCTTTTTTTTTCAGATTACACAAAACACAGGATTTATTATATGAAAGTACAAAAGACTTTTTAGAATTAAGATATCAAGGTCGTGCCAATGAGAGACAATGGATGGCAGAGAAGGACAGATTACTTAGAGAACTAGATAGTGCTAAAGATAAAGGGAATGGTCAAGACTCATTGCTAAACATGTCTGTTGCTACTGAGGCAAGAGCTCACTACGCAGAAGAAGTCAAGGTAATTTGGTAGTTACATGTTTATGAATCAAATTAGAATACGTGGACAAGAGAGTTAACAAATACATTACAAATCTTAAAAGATCGTTTGAGGTCAACATATGGTCTTCTTTTCTGGTTTAAATTGTTTTACAATTTGTCATGTTGGGGTCTTTTATAACTTACTACCGGTATATGGTATGGGTTTTATTCATTGTTGGAGGCTGTATGGTGACCTATTGTTGCTTACATCTACTTCATTTGGTCTCTCTGGTGGATAGTTGTCTCATTGGCAATCATACCATATCTTCTTAGTTTTATATTCAATAACAGACAAGTGTCTAGACCATAGCTCTAAATTGACCTTAGTCTAGACAAGTGTCTAGACCATAGCTCTAAATTGACCTTAGTCTAGACAAGTGTCTAGACCATAGCTCTAAATTGACCTTAGTCTAGACAAGTGTCTAGACCATAGCTCTAAATTGACCAAGTTGTAAGTCAATTAACAGAGACTGTCATAGATAAACTTAGTTTATAAAACACAATTGAGGACAAATATAGGTAAATTAGTTATTTCTGCAATGTCAATGAATGCTGCAGCTATCAATCAGAAGGTCTTTTTAGAAGATTGAAATGTAATCAAGAATAATAGAATAATACAAATCTGACCAGAACATTACTATGTATGGTAAAATTGTTATACATAATTAATTCTTGATTTCAAAAGATTTTTACATAAGATTCAGCTTTGAGCTTACAGATTTTAATGTTTCTGTTAAAGTTACTGGATTATTTCAATTCTAATAGGAAAATTCAGAACTCAGAATTTTATTTGAAGTAGGCTTATATTATATGTTTAAAGTTCTGGGTTTTACTTTTAAAAATGAACAAATACAAATAAACTAACTTTTTAAAAAGATTTTATTGAACCTTATGACAAGCAACTCATTTTTCAACATTCTAAGTTGATCTTAAAAGGTTTTCCAATGGAAAGACACTCATCTAAACAATCAAACAATTTATTTTCTGAATCAATTTCACTATGTCTCTATTACAATAGAACCAGAAATTTCAAAACCATGCAAAATGTTTTTTTGTTCTTGTTTTGTAGACATTAGATTATCAATTACAACAGGCACAGAAGCTAGCAGAGATGTATCGAGAGCAAGTGATCCAGTTAGAGGATGAATTGTCGCGGATCAGGGAAGAAGGGGATGTCACCCGAGAAATATTTAAGGTATACTCAAATAGAAAAATACCTAAGCTATGCAAAAATTGAATCACCATACAACTCTTTGTTTTATGCTTGTTTTAAGGTATTTCATGAATTTAACTAGTGAAGTGGTATAAAAGAAATGAGTAAATTTATTTGGTAGAACAGCTGTTCATTGAATTTACTTTGCTATCAAGCTTGTCATAACATAAAATTCTTCAGTTTACAAAAAAGTGACTGTTGCAAAAATTATAATAGCACATGTAGTTTAAAAAAGAGGGACTAAAGATACCAGAGGGACAGTCAAACTCACAGATTGAAAACAAACTGACAACGCCATGCTAAAAATAAAAAGACAAACAGAAAAATAATAGTACAGATGACACAACATAGAAAACTAAAGACTAAGCAACACGAACCCCACCAAAACTGGTTAACTCTTTTAATTTTGTTAATGTTTATTGAAGAATTTTTTGCATTCTATTTTCTGGTCTGTTCTTTTGTCACAAGTTCTGTGTAGTTCTGTTTCTCTCTTAGTCAAAAGATTTATCCTCAACAACAAATTTTGGATATAATATAACAAAAGACATTCACGATTTGTGTGCTTGAATTCTAATGTTTACTCATACAGTGGTACTGGTAGTAAAAGAAATGAAGTGGACTTTGAATGAAAATAATAATATTTGGCAGGGGTAAAACCCATGACCTCCCACACTCTTTGTGGGCATGCTACTATAGGACTACCAAGATGGTTCATTGACCAGTGGTTTTGCTAGCGCTGGTCATTTACAAAACAGTTTTCAAAATGACGAAAGTATTTCAAATCAATTTCGTCACTTAAATTTGGAAAGTGTTAAAATATTTTCGCATGAAAATACTATAATTCTACCTGTCTTCATGTTTCTGACAAGTTTATGACCCTCAGCTAATTAACTTTTACAACAGGTTTAAAATTGTGATTACAGGTAATCCACTGATTGCCATCAGATGGGTCACTAATCCGTTACAGCTGTTATCATAATGCTAGCAAGTTAAAGGTTTGGTTGGCTTGCTGGCTTTGTTTGTATTAATGTTTGCTCAAGCATTGTAATTAAGATTGACATCTGAAAACAATATATAAAGGCAGAGTTAAACTTGTATACTTTATACTTAGATTTGATTGGACACTATCAAATAATCAAATTTACCTATATACAGGTTTAACTCTGCCTACTTTACTTATATTGTTTGCAGATGTCAATCTTAATTACAATGCTTGAGCAAACATTAATACAAACAAAGCAAGGCAAGCAAGCCAACCAAACTCTTACTCTGCATGCATTAGGAAATTGACTGTAATTATTAATAAACCTCATAATTAACCACCATAAATATTTATCCCAGTAAAATCAGTCAGTCGGCATTTCAATTTCAATTTGTCAAACGACCACAATTTGCAGTTTGTTTATCGTAGTTTCATCATTTGAACAAAATTGTTTTCCCCTGGACAGTTTGCGTTTTAATTTCCAACGATCACATTTTGCAGTTCGTTTGTCGTAGTTTCGTCATATAAATATATTTTCGTCATATTTGATATAACTTTTCATCAAAACCTTTCGACAATTTCGATTAAAAAGATGAAATTTATTCAAAATGATCAGAAATCTTTTCACGAGTCAAACAGATGCTTCCTTTTCTATGTACTGGGCATGCATGAAAGTATTCATATATTCATATATATGAATTTATAGACACTAAAACGTAAAATACGAAATCATTTAGCATCAAATTAAGAGACAAATATATTTCTTACTAAGAAACTCAATTTTAAAAATGATAATTTCCTGCCTTTTGTTAAACACGAACTAATCCGTATATAAATCTGGATTAATTCTGAATTTATTATCCACTTGTCACTTCCCATTTTCATTTCGTTTAAAAGTAAACGTGATCTTTTCTCGATTAATTTACAATTTAGTCATTAGAATCGTTCCATTAAGGATTGATACAAATCCTTGTTTCCAGCTTTAAAGAAATGAATTCCAAATATCGATTTAAATTTATTAACACTAAGGATAATGATTATGCAGTGAAATAGTCATTACAAGTTCAATTATGCTGTGGTTTTAAAAAAGAGGCACCCAACTTTTGTTGATCAGGAATGTTCCCTGAAAATAACTGAAGTGAAATTGTGAACTAGATTTCCAGATCCCTGTTCTTATCTTCATATTTAAGCATTACATCAGTCAAGTCATGCAGTAACTGCAAACATTTGTACCATGCCTAAGGCCTTCAAAGATCCTAGTCCTTGAAGGACTTAGGCATATGCATAGATAGTAATATATGTCCTTGATCCCTTGCTGTTACCCAAAACAAGGTTGATTTTCATCTCACACAAAAGTGACTAAACTCACTAAAGCCCTCAAAATCCTATCTGAAACCTTGATTGAATATTGCAATACTTGACTATTGGACAACTAGATTTGATCATATACAATCTGCAGTTGGAAATTTTTTGTTATGAACTGCAATAGAGAGAAAGAGTTAAAAACATACATAAAAGTCATTTTAATTGAAAGGTTACAGATTTTGAAAATATTTTTCTTTGATAATTTTTGCAGGGAAGAAGTGACAAGATGACTACGAGACTAACTATGATGAACCAGCGATATCAAGACTTAGAAAGAAGAAGGAACTTAGAGGTTGAAGGATTTAAAAATGATATTAAAAATCTCAGATCTAGATTAAAGGATGTTGAAAGGCAGCTTTATAAGGTGAGTACATCTGGTACACAAGTTAAAGGGATTAGTTATTGTAATTTGTGTATTAAGTTTAAAAAAAAAAATGACAAAAGTGTTTATAAATAGTGTTGCTTACATGTATGATGTCAGAAATGTAAATAAACTTTTAACATTTTTAGATGATTATTGAAATATTAGCATCTGTTTAAATGAGTTTCTTAAATTTCTTATGATATTCTGGTGAAGGCAAATATAGGACACTTTGAGACGCTGAAATTGTCTTTATTCTTTTTAAAAATAGAAGAAAAAAGTAGTATCCAGTTTCTGTATAGACTGACAGGCATGAGTTTCAGGTGTTGTTTGATTAAAATACATGATAAATTAAAGGGGAGACAATTATATGTATGTTTTTCTTCATTTCATAGGTTACTATGGGATTTGCTGAGGATATGGATGTACAGAAACCAGGTGATATTGACATGCAAATATTACGAAATGTACATGCTACAGCTGGAAGATCAAAGAAAATGGTAGGAGAACTGAAAAACTTAAAATCTAAAATGTATGGACTGGAAAATGATCTGAAACATTTATGAGACTAAGGAAAAAGGGAGGATTTATATTTGAAATTTGCATTTGTACTGAAGACAATACAATCAGGACTTAATTGTGTTAAAACCTGATCAAGATCTGCTGAAAAGAAATCTCCTAGTACATTGATTGCCCCTTTGACAGGTCAAAGGTCAAATATGCATGAAAATTGACATGAGAATGAAAGAATGAAAATAATGGAACAGATTTTGATGAATGTTTCTGACAGTCAAAATTGTGAAACATGTAGTCAGAATATATAACTTAGAAGCTGTGATATTAATTTAACTGGGCTGAATAATCTATAAATGTTATGCATCTGATACTGATCATTTATCATATACAATCCCAAGCAAGAAAGGTTGATTATTGGACATACTGGAATAGAGAAAAAGAGATGGAAATGCATAAGAGAAAAATGATGTATTGAAAAATATATACCATTACACTTTTTTTGAAAATTTAAATGTTATTTTTTGCAAATTTTTTTAAAATATATCACTTGAAAGTAAAGAGGAAAAATATTTTTATGCAAATGTAAATTAATTTATTGAGAAAATATTTTACTTTATAAATAACTTTGTTTTAGACATACATATATGTAAAATGTTAGTTTGACTACATTAAAATATTACCCATGTATTATTAGAACATATATATAATAATTTTGAGTAATAAATGGCTAGATTTTGATTTTATTCTGCCATGCACATTTGAAGAAAGGTAGTCAATAGTATTTATCTAAAACATAATTTTAGTGTTAAAATAGGAAATAACAGAGGTCAGATTGTACCTATGAAGTTCTGCCAAATTCTATTTTTATAGTAAGAAAGCCCATTGTTTCATGATATATGTTTTGTATAAATATTTATATTTAATAAAATTTATTAACACTGAAATATTTTATATGTTGTTTAAATTTTTTGGGCGTATATTGGTATGACGTTGGCGTCGTCATTGTCGTCGGCCGAAGACACATTGGTTTTTGCACAATAACTTTAGTTCAAGTGAATGGATCTCTATGAAATTTTACCATAAGGTTAAATACCACAAAAGGAAGGTTGGGATTGATTTTGGGGTTTATGGTACCAACAGTTAAGGAATTAGGGGCCTAAAAGGGGCCAAAAATAAGCATTTTTGTAACTTCCAGACAATAACTTGTGTTTAAGTGTATGGATCTCTCTGAAATTATACCACAAGTTTCCATACCACAAAGGAATGGTTAGGATTGGCTTTACGGGGTTATGGCTTAAACCGTTTAGGAATTAGGGGCAAAAAAGGGGGGAATACAAGGGTTTCCTGGTTAATGGATAATTTAAAAGCAGTGTAAGGGAGGTAATCCAAAAACAAAATTGTACAATGTTGGATTACCTCCCTTACACTGCTTTTAAATTATCTGTTTAAGACTTTTATGATGTATTTAATGGGTAATTATGGTTGCAAACTCCATTGGTAAATTGAATTGAGATTATGACCATATCTTGAGGGAAAGAATTTTTGAAAAGGGGGGGGGGCAATTTTTTTTCATTTCAGATTTCAGAAATTAAACAAAATTTCTTTACATATTTTATTTTTTTTTTTGCACAAAAAAGGTAAGGGGGGGGGGGGGGTCTATACGCAACAGCATAGTGTATTGCACAAAAGGGAAAAGAAATGGGTTAATTTTTATTTTGGGGGGGGGGGGGGGGGGCATTTCACACATGCACAGTGTATTGCACAAAAGCAAAAAATTGAATATAAATCAAAATCATATAACCATTTCTAAGTTCTTTGACTACGTTTATTCTGTGTCAGAAACCTATTATGGGTCAAATATTTAATTACAATCCAAATTCAGACCTGTATCAAGCGCGAATATTGTGTCCATTTTGCCCCAACTGTTCAGGGTTGGACCTCTGCGGTGGTATCCAGCTGAGCCTGGCGAAGCAATTTATTTAGCTTACCTGTGGTTGTGGCTTATGTTTGAACTCATCTTAACAAAACCATTGCCACAGTTTTATAATCTGTGTAAATTGTGATGATAATGTCTGGCAAATTATGTTTTTGGTGTTTCTGGTGAGTTTTCATCAGGAACACTCAGAGCAAAAAGTTGGAGCAAACATAGAGGGTAGATACATTTAAAAAAATGTGATTTAGTGTAAACCACTCTTGTGTGAATTGCTGGTGATAGAAGGTGATAACACTCTTTTCATTTACAACCCTGTCATATATAACAGATATAATTTACAGATTCATTTCAGATTGGTTCACCAACAATGCAACGACAACTTAAATTGAATTGAGTTTACATTGAATTATATGGTTGATTGATGTTTGCTAAACATCAGGTGACAAATATTCATGCATATTCAAGACGAGTACAAATTACCAATTAACTCAATAAGTGGTTATGTAAGGACAGAAAATCTTGACTGCCACTGCCAAAAAATTAGGGTTTGTTTGAAAAGGGTATGAATTTTTTCCTTGCACAGGCCTCCTACTGACCCCTTGACTTGCAGAAAGGATTCTTTAATGTGCAGAGGGCGGTGCACTCTTCCTTCAAAAGGCATCATATTTAACATCCCCATTCCAATCTACTCAATAGAAATGAAATGTGATAATGTTAATAAACTGCATACCAAATATCATTGACTCATCACTTAGTGGATTATCTTAAACTGATGCAATTGTTATTAGCAATAGCACACTCCATTTCCATGGAGATTATATACTTCTTCTTCATGGTTCATTGAATTTGAAAGTTTAAAATTGTTTACATGTTAAAATTTGTTTATAGATATAGGAAGATGTGGTATGAGTGCCAATGAGACAACTCTCCATCCAAGTAACAATTTATAAAAGTAAGTTTAAGGGGAACTACTTTTGATCAGTCACTGGTATTTGGTATGAAGTTGTACTAGCATTGGTCGTTTTCATTTCCAGAGGTTATTTGGCCCTGCACCTTCATTTATGGCTTTGAATAGTTCATTGTATTGCCATTTTAATTTCAACATTTTCATTATACTATCATAATTACATACATGTGAGACATATCTCTATGACAACAGTTTTATATTTATATGATATCAATGTAGCACCCATGGTTTATATAGATTAAAATGGTCTTTTTTCATATAACTTCAACCATGCATTTATTTTATAATATCATATGATGGACAAATGAATGTCTATTTTTAGACTAAGCAAGTGAATGGAAATGACACAACTATTTAAAAAGGTTGAGGATGAAGGTTTGTTTATGACCACATATATTTCTGTATACCGGTAATCAAATTTTGTATTATGTTTAATGTCATGAGAAAAATAGATAACTGATCAAAGTTCATATTTAAACAAAATTGTTTAAATGAATAAACTTATGACAGAAAGAATTGACTGAAATATAGAAATTTTAAAATTATTTCAAAACTATTTTTAGTTATATATTAAGTCTGGACGTGTTTTCAAGTCTGCTCATTTTCAATGCATTCCACTGATGATAGATAATATTGACATGATTATACTTAAAAATAGCCTTATATTTTATCAATTCCCCCAAAGGCAGTACCCTCCCCCCTTGAGTATGGTAGTGACAGAAACAAAAATTTAGTATAGGAAAATTCCAAGCTAAATCCATAGGTTAAATAAGATTTTATTGGGACAAACTTTCTACTACATTGTAGACTTGTAGTATTTCTATGGCACACTTCGATAAGACTTTTGAGGGTTTAGAGTATATGATATATTAATAGTTTATGGAATTTGGTTCTGCTGTCTCGTTCAGGTATACCCCATTTCACCTTAATTTTACCTGACAGCAATTTAAATGACCAGGAGAGTAAGAATGTAAATACATTTTACTTGTTATAAAAATTAATAAGAATAAATGATATTTCATTATCTATTGTTTGGTTTCTTAGATTTTTGTACAACATGAAAGTATTAAAAGTACCGTTCTACCAATTTTTTAAATGATTCATTACCGAAAAAGATGAGCAAACCTTTTTGGGGAAGTATGTTTCTCATATCTTATTATCAATGGAAAAATATCGTACTGAAGTGAAACTATATTGGTAATAACTAAATATTGTTATCTATAGTCATGTGAAAATAAAATGACTAAAGATAAAAAGTTGAACCGGTAATTTTATTTTTGCTTTTGATTTGAAAACCATCAATTCAAAATGGCCCAAAATCTTGCTGTCTGTGAATTTTGTGATTTTTCCATTGAAACAATTGCATGGAAGTGCATTAACTGTGATTTAATTCTGTGTGAAAATTGTAAAGCAAGGAGACATTCGAAAATCAAAGGATCTGAGGAACATAGTGTTATTATGTTAAAGCAGATGGGGACATTGGAGGCAAACAATAGTGTTCGAAAGTTAGAACTAGCAAATATTATATGCTCTTTGCACAAAGAAGAGAAATGTATTGCATATTGTAAAAGCTGTTCCAAGAAATTGTGTACTGACTGTGCTATTGTAGGAAACCACCTTGGTCATCAAATTTTAAAACTTGAGACTGTTTATAATGAACAAATATCTGAACTTACAAGTTTGGACAGTAAAATGAAAGATGATTTACCATTTTTTATTGAAAACTTGAAGAAAATTGAAATAAGTTGTCAGAAAGGAACTGACAATTACAACAAAGCAAAGCAACAAATAATTCAACGAGAGAAAGATATAAAAAAAAAAGCTACCCAAGAATCAGAAGTGCTCTCTCGTGAACTTGATATTTTGTTAAAACCTCAGAATGACACTTTACACAAAACAAAGGAAACTTTACAAAAAAATGTTGATTACTTGAAGGAGACAACAAACCTTATAGATAAAATGCTTCACTCAAATGATGTAAAATTAGTTCTCGACAAATCGTTTTCAATAGAAAAAGGATTGCTGTCAAAGGATATTGAAGGATTGAATGTGTCCCTGAAATCCCCAGTTGACTTGATTGCTCCAGTTTTGTCTCTTAGATTTGGATCATTGGTAATGCCAAAACTAGCCGTTATACAAAGTGTTCAGACTCCATGGAAAACAATCAAATGCTTGGAAAGCTTTCATGATGGTACATACTTATTAATAGTTAGTCCTGAAAGTAGAAAATCACAAACTTCATTAGAGTACTTTCAACTCAATGGTTCAAGCTATGTTAAAAAATGTAGTAATAAACTTGAATTCAAGCCTTTCTGCATGAAAGTTATTGAGAACAATATAATTTTACTTTTATGTCCGGATAAAATATTGTCTCTTTCCGAAAGTAATGAAATATTGACCTTTTCTCGATATTCAGGTCTCTTTAGTTTTCGTAGAATGCAATATACAAGTATGTGCACAACAGCTGAAGGAAGAATTTTATTGGGGAGTTCAAGGCCTCCAAACTACCCTTTTAAATCTTCGACTTATGATATAGAATTGCTAAATGATAAAGGCGAATCAAAGAAGAGTTTTCACATTAGTATAGTTTACTGTGTTGACAAGATTGAAGCAAGTGATCATGGTACATTTATTATATCACATTCACATTTCAAAAAGGTAGTTAAAGGACTAAACTCTATCTTTGAATCAAAATGGACTTACATTGGACATAAAAGTATTAACTCAAACATCAAATTTAAACCAATAGATATTGCAGTTTCTGCGACAGGACTCATTTATGTGACAGATGAGAACACAAGTTCTATTCATGTTCTTACACGACATGGTGACTTTGTTGCAAACTATGGTAAAGAACATGGCATTATTGACCCTGAAACTCTCCATATAAATAAAGAAGAACAATTGATAATAGGGTGTAAAGATGGCAAAATACATGTGGCAGATATATCCCCCTGAGGGTCAATACTAAATTTTTTGAGGTTTTTGTTGAGTTTTCACTCATTAGATCTGCCTATCCTTCTGGAGCACCTGAAATCACCTTA